AGCGGCCGCTCTGCTGCGGCGGGTGCTGCTGCGGGCGCTGCTGCTGCGGCGGCGCGGGCTGGCTGGAGCAGCAGCAGCAGCAGCAGCAGCAGCAGCAAGACCCCCTAGTGCTGGCGTCGGAGCAGCAGCAGGCAGCCGTGTGCGCAGGGGGCCGGAGAGGCGCGGCGCTGCTGCTGCTGCTGCCAAGGCATGCACCCGCGGCGGGGGAGGAGCAGCAGGGGGGCGGGAAAGGCGAAAAGAATTCCAAAAGCCCCCCAAAGACACTCCGGAGAAGAAAGAAATGAAAATAGAAAAGCTTAGCAGCAAAAAGACCACTTCCACGCTCGACTTCGCGCAGCAAACGCCTGTGGGGGCAGCACAAACTTGAATGTGACGGCGGAAGCGCGGCGATCTGCAGCAACCCCGGCGCCAGCGAGGGTCCGTGTGCTGTCTAGACAGCTGCTGCTGCAGTATTTTGCTCAGTTTGCAACTTGATCGCAGCAAAAGGTGGCGCTTCCCTGCGCAGCAGCAGCAGCCGCTGCAGCAGCAGCACCACCGGTGCGCAGCAGCGTTGGCTGCTTCGGCTCGCCGCAGCCGCCCTTTCGTCGCTTAAACAGCCCCCCAACTTCCACTTGCAAACTTTTCCCTTTATTCAAAGTCCGCAAGTCCGCAAGAAAGCCGCAAAGAAACACAATGCACCAAACCGCTGCAGCACCAGCACCCCCACACCGCTGGGGTGTACCTGCAGCTCGCGCGTCTGCCGCTCTTAACTCCCCAGCCCTTCCCCAAAAGCCATTTCCAGTTCAAAACCCTTTTAGTACGCCCTGCAGCAGCAGCAGCTCTGCTGCTGCTGCTGCTGCTGCTGCAGCCATTCCGAATTTCGCTCTGCAGATTAACTGACAGGAACCCCCGCCGCTGCCGAGCCCGGGCCACGCCGCAGCTGTCCGTACACCCCAGCGCACTAAAACCCAACAATTAACATTTAGGGATTCAGAGTTGTCACTTTTATTTCTAAGCTGCTGCAGCTGCTGCAGCTGCTGCTGGCGTCTAGCTAGACTCGGGAGCTGCAGCTGCTGCAGCGCAGCAGCAGCAAACTCCCAGAACCAAATAAGACAAAAAGAAATAATTCAGTTTTGCTGCTGCAAAACATTAGTGAGAAACGCACACATGGGCTCCAGCCACCCTAGCAGCTGCTGGCAGCAGCACGGGCGCGCACCCCTGCAGCAGCAGCAGCACGAGTAGCCGCAGCAGCAGCTGCTGCTGCTGCTGCTGCAGCGACAGCGCCCGCAGCAGCAGCAACTGCTGCTACGCAGCGGGAACTGCTGCTGCCTCTGCACCAGCAGCAGCAGAGGCTGCAGTGGGTGCAGCGGGCGCAGCAAAGGCGCGAGACCCAGCTGCTGCTGCAGCAACGCTGCAGCAACTGCCGCTGCTGCAGCTGCTGCAGCTGCTGCAGCTGCTGCAGCACGAGCAGCAGCTGGCTTTGCAGCAAGTGTCTATACACCCGAACTAACTGCAGCGCAGCAAAAGAGGCAGCGGCCTTTAATGCAAATAAATTAATTGTCTTTTATTTTGCTGCTAAGTCACAAACCCTAAACCCTTTTTCTCTACAGGTGGCAGTTGCTGCAGCTGCTGCGTTTGCTGCAGCCGCTGCACTTGCTGCAGCTGCTGCATTTGCTGCACTTGCTGCAGCTGCTGCACTTGCTGCACTTGCTGCACTTGCTGCAGCTGCTGCATTTGCTGCACTTGCTGCAGCTGCTGCACTTGCTGCAGCTGCTGCACTTGGTGCTGCACTACTCCCCGGCTGTACGGGGTTGCTGCTGCTGCCAGCTGCGTCAGCACGGCTGGCGTTTCTGCTGCAGCAGCAGCAGCAGCCGAAACTGGCCGCTGCAGCAGCAGCAGCAGCGGAGTCTTGCTGCTGCTGCTGCTGCTGCAGCCGAAACTTGCTGCGGCAGCAGCAGCGGCAGCAGCGCGTTTGGCTTTGCAGCAGCACCGACCGCGCTGCGGCCCTGTCAACGCTCACTCCCCCTGCTGCTGCTGCTGCTGCTGCTGCTGCTGCTGCTGCTGCTGCTGCTGCTGGGAGTTTGCAGCCGTTCTGAGGGGAATGAAGACTTGTTTGGACCTTTTTGCTGCTTCTTGGAGCCGCTTTTGCTGCTCGATTTTCTCCTGCAGTCTTTCGAGTTCTCTGTCGCTGCCGAGGCCTGCGCGGGAGTAGGGTTTGCGCTTCTGGGGAGCAGCAGCAGCAGCAGCAGCAGCAGCAGCAGCAGCAGGAAGCAACTCCAGCCCCATGCCCCGCAGCATTGCTGCACCAAACTCCTCCACTGGCATTGCTTCGTAGCTGCTGCTGCTGGGCAAAGGGGCCTCCGGCAGCACTGCGAGTTCGCGCTGCAGCAGCTCTTTGTCAGTTTCTCCAGTTTGCTGCTGCCACGGCCTGCGCCGCTGCTGCTGCCCGCCGCCGCTGCTGCTGCTGCTGCTGCTGCTGCTGCTGCTGCTGCTGCTGCTGCTGCTGCTGCTGCTGCTGCGGGCCTTCTCCTCGCGGTAACGCCTCCGGATCTCCGCCAAAACTGAAGTCCGGGCCAATAAAGGAACCACCAAAGAAGTCGAAACTTCGCCGCGAAGTTCTGCTGTTATAGCAGCAGCAACTTCTTCGTCCGTCAGCCGCCGCTTCGCCCCACACTCCCCCTTCGCCGCTGCTGCTGCTGCTGCTGCTGCTGCTGCTGCTGCTGCTGCTGCTGCTGCTGGGCGCGGCGCCGGCGTGTCCCCAGGCTCTGTCTTCACTGCTGCTGCAGCAGGGCCTGCGGCAGGCGCTGCAGCAGCAGTCTTCACTGCTGCTGCAGCAGGTGCTGCAGCAGCCGCTGCAGCAGCAGTCTTCACTGCTGCTGCAGCAGGCGCTGCAGCAGCTGCTGCAGCAGCTCCTGCTGCTGCAGCTCCTGCGGCAGGTGATACAGCAGATGATGCAGCAGCTGCTGCAGCAAGTGCTGCAGCGGATGATGCAGCAGCTGCTGCAGCAGCTGCTGCAGCAGCGCCGGCGTCTGCTGCTGCGACTTGCTGCTGCGCGCCTTCGGGGCTAGGCCGCTCTGCCTTGAGCTGCTGCAGTGCAGCGTCTGCGCCCGTGTCTGCTGCTGCTGCTGCTGCTGCTGTTTCTGCTGCTGCTTCTGCGGAAACTTCCGGACTCTGCTGCTGCTGCTGCTGCTGCTGCTGCGCAGCAAGAAGGCTCATGCGGTAGGCTGAAAGAGGCAGCGGATTGGGACAAGGAATTACGCGAACTGCTGCAGCAGGGGGGCCCCCCTCTACCTCGAGTTTGCCGCCGCTGATGCTGAGCAGCAGCTGGGGCTTGGGGCCCTCGGGGGGCCCCCCGCGTTCGAAGCCCAGCAGGGGCTTGGGTGCAGCAGCAGCAGCAGCAGCAGCAGCAGCAGCTTCAGTCTTCACTCCTGCTGCTGCTGCTGCTGCGCCTGGAGGCGACAGCCGGGGGTCTGAGGTCTTCTTTTTCAAAGAAAAAGAAAACTTCTTCGGCGCAGACACCGCGGGCTCCATTTCCAAAGTGCTGCTGCTCTGCTGCTGCTGCTGCTGCTGCAGTCAGTGAAGGCTCAACGGGAAACTTGAAGGAAACTGCTGCAGCACTTCATGCATGCATGCAAGCAGCTTCCCAGCTCCTCCATCGGTGTCTGCTGCAGTGTATGTACACCTCGTGGAGCGGCCTGCCCGGAAGAAACCAAAGAACTCTTCGCTGCCGCCGCCGAAACCGGCAGCAGCAGCAGCAGCAGCAGCCACAGTTGCTGCTGCAGAAGCTGTTCCGGCTGGAGTTCGCAGCAGAAGTCGACGCAGACAATTCAATTTCAAATTTTAATTCATATTTACTTCGCTGAGAGGTTCAGTCTGCGCGAAACCTAAGTCATCCGCATGCGCTGGGCTCCTTCAGAACCTCTTTGAACTGCGTTGTTTCGCCGATCAAGCCCCGCTGTTGAGAGCCTCTGAATTTATTTCCTCTTTCACTCAAAATAATTAATTGATTAAGCAGTTGCTGCATTTAAAGGTGTTTTGAGCCGCACTGGCAGCCAAAGTCTTCACCGGAAGGCGCCGAAGCTGCAATTTGCATGCATGCGTGGGAGTGATTCGGTTTACACTGCGGCATTAATAGCTAGCAGTTACCGCGTCAAGTTAAATGGAATTGAAATGAATTGAATGGAGTAAAACGCCGCATTTATAACAAACTTTGCAGGTCTGTGGCTCCTGGCTCGCCCACAGTTCAAAGCCAGACAGCCTTCAACAGCGATCAAGCTGCTGATTGTCAGCGGGATAAAAGGAAATAAAAACATTCAATAAGAGCTTCTGCACAGGAAAGGCACCTCTAAGAGCAATGAAACTGCTAATATTCAGAAAGATAAAGGCAAATGGAGATATGGAATGGGGGTTTCTGCAAAGGGTTCCTGAAAGCTCGTTCAGCAGCACGCAGAAACCTGAATGTCTATACAAACAATACTGCTCGAGCCCATACAAAGTGACTTCACTTAAAAGCGTCTTTGCCGGTAATAAGAAAAGATTTAAAAGGCTGGCTCTGGTTGCCTCTGCTTCCTGCCAGCTGAGGCCTTCAGGATCAGCTTCAGAAAGTGGAAACAATTAGTTTTTAAAATGCCAAATGGGGAGCAGAGGGAGTGCTTAAGATGAGATAAGTATTTTGTTTATTTCCCGTAGAAATGTCTGCTGCAGATTAGTTTCGCTGCAGTTCAAAAGATGCTGGAAACTTAGACGCAGAAATTGCCAATGTGCAAATTTACTACTTTTCAAAATTTGATAAGAATTTGTTGAGTTCTGGTTTTTATTTCTTCAAATTGCTTCAGTCTGCAACAGCCCGAGTTACTCCAACTCAGAGTGGCTTTCTTATTTATTGTTATCTGTGGCTAGGAGGCTCTCTGGCCTCCCGAACTCTTCTTAGAAGCTGAGAAATGATATGCACTTCCAGCTAAAATGTTTTAGTTTTGGAAACTTGTCAGGAGCTTCAGTTTAAGAACTTTTGCTGCCAAGTCCTCGAGCGATCGAGTGTGGCAGTGGCTCCACAGGCAAGCGCTCAGGGCCTTTCAAATTGACTTAGTCATTTTTGTTTCGCTGCACTATTCCGCAATCTCTGTCTCAGGAGAATGTCGGAAGAATGAATTTCCCAAGTTGGGACTTCTACGAATAATAGAATAAGCTGCCGCTGCTGCAGCCAACGCTACAGACTCTCCAAACAAAGCTGAATGGCTAGCTGGACTGCTCCAGGCTCTTGCTAGCTAGCTGAATTACTTCGGACTTACAAAGCGGGAATCGCTGGCTAGCTGAGCTGCCTGGCTGGCTGAAGGGCCATTTCAGTGAGCCTTCAGCCTTGTGTAGTCTACAGAACAGAAGGAGCAGAAATTAGCTCATTCAAACTACAGAGCTTCTCCTTCTGAGCTGTCCATTTGCCACACAGAATATGTTGTTTCGAACTGCCACGCTGGAAATACAAAGACGGGAAAAAAGCCTCAAAAGAAAAAAAGCCTTTTTCCTTCAGAAGCATCAATGGCGCTGAGACCGAAAGCAACAGAAACTCCGAAAGCCCACATCCAAAAGGGGGAACAAAGCATTATAAACTGCTGCTAGTTGTAGCTGCCGCAGCGGCTTGTGCAGCAGGTGGCAGCTCCCTTTGAACCTAATTACTGCAACGGCGAACTGGCAGTGAGGCAGTGGGTGGAAGTAAGCGAGTAAAAGAGAACTTGAAAGCCTCTGATGGCCCATGCAGTAAGCGCCTCAGCTCCTATTTCCTGAATTTCGTCCTGAAGTCACTACAGGAGTGGCTACAGAGCTTTCGTCAAGCCTTCCTACGGAAAGCTGTAGGAGGATCTACCAATTCCGGTCCAGCAAGTGGACACAGGCTATCCAGTGCATCTGGGACACAGCTCATGATGCAGAATAAGCAAATTGGACAAAGTTGACAAAGAGTTCAGCACAACAGCCAGGCTCAGCCTTCCGCAGCTCCCCGCGAAGCTGCCGCAGGGTTATGAATGTACGCAGGAATTGCCTGCTGCTGCTGGCCCACCGCCGCTGTTCCCTAAAGCCAAGCGCCAATTCTTAAAACGTGCCGAAGTGGCAGGGGTCTTGTTCCAGAAGTGCCCACAGTTCTTTTGTCTGTGCAGCTCTTTTGGCCACACCACTCACTCACCTCTTGGGCTGCGAGCTAGCCCAGGGGCTACGTAAAAAGTCCTTCTCTTGGCATGCAAGCGTAGTTCTCATGAAAACAAATTTTAACCTCACCTTTTGCAATTCAACTGCCCCGCTGACCCCTACCAGCCTTCTACCGGCGCTTCCCTGTCAACGTCTTGCGAAGCTTCTTGCAAAGCTTCTTGTGAGGCTTCTTGCAGAACTTCTTGCGAAGCTTCTCGCGAAGCTTCTCGCGAAGCCTCTCGCGAAGCTTCTCGCGAAGCTTCACTGCCGGCCAAGCGGCCTTCGGAAGGGCTAGTGGGTGCCCCGGCAGACTGCTGTCTCACAAGTGGCGTGCGCTCCTCCATTGCTTTCTGTTCCTTGAGCTGCTGCAGCTCGAGACTAATTGTGGCGTATCTGCCTCTCAGCCCCATTAGCTTCTGCAGATCTATGCTGTACTGCAGCGACAAGTACGCAACAGCCACGCCCGCTAGGGCGCCTAAACAAAGGGATCCTATTATGAACAACGTGCCGTTCTCGGCATCCGTTTCATCTCCCTCGGCTGCTCACCACAACGAAGCACACACAAGAGACAGTTAGAAATATAAAAAATATTATGCCCCACAACGAAGTACACACAAAAAGAGAAATATTATGCCAGCGAGCTTGTAAAAGCATTTCATTTTTCTCTCTTGGAGGCAGCCTCTCCACGAAACGTCACTGGAGTTCACGAATCTCCACAAACAACGCAAACAACGAACAAGAGCTTCTCACCTGCACAAAACATGTACTTTTCGCTGGCGCAGTAAGCTTCCTTTTCTTCAATGGAAGAAAGCGTGTTGATTGTCGTGGTGCTGATGAAGCCTCGGTGGACGCAGCTGAATTCACGGAAGTGCCTCATGCCGATCACAAGGCCAGACTTCGCGGCGCAGAGCACGTAAGCAGTATCTACCCAGTTTTGCCGAGACATTGCAGCCTCGTTTTGGTAGCAAGGGCGATAGCCAAGAGGGCAGGAACACGAGTCTATCTGAGAAAAGAGTACATTCAGACAGCGGAAAAAGGTAATTGTTTTCCTCTTGCGGAGCATTGATTTCTCATTCAAGATTGAACTTCCATGCTAGGCCTTCTAAATTGTAAAGGTGAACTCACCGACTCGTCATACGCGCTAGCGTCGCTCGATGCCTCCACAGACAGGATTACACACTGCTGAGGGGTCATGTCCAGGGGGATTTTGTCTGGGTAAGTTGGTAGGGGTGTCGTGGAAGATGTTTCCGAAGTGAGAATTTCAATTATTGGTGGCGCTTTTGTCGTGAACGCCACAAATTCCGGGCTGGTGCCTCCTGTGCTGGGATCTGCAGAAGCCCAAAACCCAAAAGGACAAAATTCCAATCCCCAGCGGTAAAGAAAGCTTGCAGTTACGATCACTAAATGACCCCTAATCGACCGAGTGGGCCCCAAAGTGCTCCGCTTCTTGCTGCAGGGGTCTATGGGGCTCCCTTCTCTCAGCCATCAGCGGCCCTGCAAAGAACCCTTCTGTACTCTTTGGTATGCGTACCACAAAGCGGTATATTCGCACAAATGCCCGTCTCCACAGTTGCTGCGTGGCAGAACAAACACAATTTCAACGAAGATTCGCACCTTTTCAGCTTGAGTGTTCGCTAAAACGGCTGCGAAGACTCATCCATCCAAGCAACTACATTTCTGAGCAGTGCTTGTGCCAGGCAAGCTCCGTGGCATTCTGTCAGTACGACTTCTGTGTTGAACAAGAACTCACTAAAGGGCGTAAACTCTCCACCCCTAGGGACCTTGCTGCCTTCTTCCATAACTTCGCGGGTCCTTATTCGCACAGAAGAGCCGATTTCCGAAGCACTTAAAAGACAGCTGCATCAAAAGCACACAGCGCTTTGGGCCTTGATTCCCTATAAGCCTCAGCAAGCACCAGTCCGGACACAAACAGATGTGCGCTAGATCTGGACACTCGAGAGGCTTTTGAAGAAGATGCCACACCATCGCATTCTCCCAAGGGCGTGTGAGGCACTCCCCCGCAACTCAAGGCTACGCTGCACGCTCTAAGACAACGACCCTTAACAATGTTTCGTACCTCAGTGAACAGCTTGACCATTCGCTCCACTCCGTGAGGAGCAAATCTGCCTCTTTTTCTGTCGATGCCAGCACACGCAAGCTCCCACACAAAAAGCCTGTAGTGCTGCAGAAGAGGGCGCCAGGAAACTTGCCAGCACCTTTTTTGAATTATCTCACCTTTGCAGAAAATTACACCTTTTCCACCGGTGGTGCCTGCAGCGCAGTTGAAATAAATTAACAGGAAATCGTATAGACAAGTCGCCCACCAGCCCACAAGAATGCGCCCATGCTGGCTCTACCGTGTTTCCGTACTTGGCGCGAATGTGCATTTTTCAGCGAATTCTCCACTTCGAAACGGCTCAATAAAACATTCTCGGTAAGATTCCCCTCGCTTGTCCGCATTGCAAGTATTCATCAGGTTCGTGCACCACTCCTTGCATTTTGCAGTTTCTTCCTCAGACGGACTCACCCCAGAGGGCGTTTTGGCAATAGCTCTCGAGCAATCAGGAACCGCTGCATCGTTTGTCGCAAGCAAATACAGTGACAAAATGCTTAAAGTGAAAAATGTGTTGAAAGTAGAGCGAAGCAGGCCAAGCCAAGGACTTAAATGCAATAATCGCATTTCATCATTGCTTTCAGTACCCCGTTATCCTGTGCTTTCGAATTTACTCAAGGTGCGCCGTGGCCACTTACACACGAGCGAGCTATTCGCATCCTTCCAGTGGCTTAGGCCGCTTTTGCAGTAGTCATTAAGGGCACTGGGACTCGGGAACTCAGTGAACGTGAAGTACTCTTCAATGCCAGTCGAGTCTTTCTTGTATCCTCGCAGGGGGCAATGAATTCTGCCCATGCCAGCGTACGCGAAGTACACACTAGAATCTGGCAACTTGCCGCTTTCATCATTAGCCCAGAGCGGTGTGTGCGCTGCTTCTGTTGAACATAACCCGTCGGAGGCTAACAGTATTCCCCTAATGCCTTTCCAGTCTTCCACGATATCGTCTGCTGTGCAAGGCACCATGCCATGTTCCAAACAAGCGCAGCTGGGAGCAACAAAGGCCCCCTCAGCGGGAGACTGTGTTGGGGTTTCCTCATTAGAAGTCTCTTGTAGGAAACTGAGAACGGCATCTTGGTTGACCAGTTTCGTCAGGGTTGGCCTGCAAGTCGCGGGTGGAGCTGCGAACAGAGCAACAAGTTTGAAGCAAGTCGAAGCAGCTCCTCGCGCCACATCTTTGAAGATGACACTGACACAGGCGCTGAATCCAAGCACAAGTTTCGCCGAGGCATTTCAGGGGCGCAATTGCTCAGTGCACAGCCTAACTTGGTCGCTAGACCAGAGGCAGCTTGGTCTTACAGATGTACTGATCTTCTTTCAATCTACAGGTGAGGTAGAAGCCACCGTCAGACAGTGCTTTCGTGACACAACCCCGAAAGGGCACTAACAAGGCATCGTGGGAAGCAAGGCTTCTGCACTTTTCCTCCGTCGTTCTGCACCTATCGATGCACGCCTTCCGCGAAGCGGAGTCCTCATAAATTGATACTACTTCGGAGCAGTCTAAATGACAAAACCAATATGTGCAGGAAAGAGCATGTTGAGAAGCCCGTAAAAATATGCAAACGACGAGCAAGCGCGCAAGTCAAGCTATAGACTTACCAAGGTCAAACTCTCTACAATTCTGAAGACCGTCCGCGCTGGAACAAGATCTTGTGGGACTAGTTCCGCTTGTAATGGCTGCGAAACTCAGCACGCGCAGATTATTCCCTGGGAGTATGCCCGAAGTCTCCACAAGCCTATGCCATTTTGGCTAGTTATTCTAGGCGCAGGCAGCTCGTGCAGTGTAGTGCCAGCACGACCAACCTAAAAATGCTCCCTTTTCGCTGTTCCGGGCAAGCCTCCTCCGCAGCGCAGTATGGCCTTCTGAAAGTATGCATCTGAAACATGCAGAGGCATGCACACGAACAAATAGAAGCAGGAGTAGCTTCCAAATTGTACAAGTCCCCTACCCATGCTCCTACGCTTCTGCCTTCTCATTCCCCTTTTCCCTGATATACGGGGAGTGCCACGTACAAGCGGCAAACATATAATCTCAAAATATGCTTACGGAACATCACATCCTGACCAGTTTGACACTATTGTGGCAGCTGTAGTGTTTGAAGCGAACGAGTCCAATTCAGCAAATTCAGCCGTTGGTGCTGAATCTTCTTCCGAGTCTTTCTCCTCTTCCTGTTGCTGTTGCGTTCCAGGGACCTTCCATTGCGGCCCTATAGAAAGAAACAACTTAACAAGCAATCAAATAATCTGTTGTGACATGCTGAACGGGCAGCAGCCTGATATAGCTGTAGCCAAGTTTGAGTTCGCAGATGCTGTGTTGCGTCATGTTGCCTATTTGGGTATTTGTGTGTCCGTGGCAGCTCCACTTCCCTATTACCTTTTCTGCAGGGCTGAAACTCGTATATGTCATCTTCTCTGCAGTATTCTGCGCCTGCGAAAATCGGTTTATACCGCCTCTTGGCAGTGACCACCTCGTCGTGACGTAAGAAAGAGGAGCAGTCACTCCACTCGGTCCAGTCGGCTGTCCAGCAGTAGCCTACGCACAGCTGGAGAGAATCTCCACAGCCCTCCGTCTCCTCCAAAATGCAGTCAGGATCTGTGTCAATGACTTCCGCAGCTATTGCAGTGCGTTTCCTGTACCGCCGTGGAAAGTTGTGAGAGCCTAAGCAAGTTGCGCTGCAAGCAGACCACTCTTCCCACTCTCCTGGAAAGCAAGAAGGGGGTACATGGTGAACAACTTCCGGCGCCTGTTCCTCAACCGCCTCGGTATCGGCAGCATTCGCTGCAAATCAGCATCAGGAAAAAGGTGCACACTGAGTACTTTCACACTTGACGCTGAAAGCGCAACGTAAAGACAAGCCTGTTCACTTCAAGAGTGCCATTTAATGGCACTCTTGACGTGAGCACGCCTGCCTATAAGTAGCAACTCCACCTCTTATACTAACTCATGCAGATTTCCTTACATGGGCAAAGAACATAAGGAGTAACGTGCTGACACAGATATGTGCCACTGTACGCCTGTTCTCCAGTGCCTGCTCCAGGAAGATCTGGGTAAGCTGGAAAGGCTCGTTGGCGCCAGTGTAGGAAAGCACTATGAATGACAGTGATGGAGCATGCATTTACGGAAAGTTGACGGAACATCTGCGTGACGGGCTTAATTGGTTCTTGGGAAGTTTCACAGAGTCCCCCTTCTCCCTGCAACTCCTTCAGCCATGTCAAGTCATGGGCTGCATCTTCTGTGCTGCAGGGCATCGCGAGCCCTGGACATCTGCATGTGAACGAGGCGGAGTCCCAGGCCAAATATGTAGGGTAATTGCGCATATCGAAAACACGACACTTTCCTGTACTCGAGCTCCCATCTGTGCCTGCGCAGTAGCCGACCCACAGCGGCAATACACAGATGCGAACTAAAAGGATCCGAAAGTAATTAACTTATCTCGCCTTATCTCGATCCGAAAATAATTAAGTCTTATCTCCTCCCCTGAAGCCAATAAGCAGTTCTTTCCTACCTTCCCCAGAATCCGAGTTTGCCGAATCAGTCCCAGATGAAGTTTTATCGCCTGTGAAAAAAGCAACGAAAGTGCAGTAGTGAGAAGTGCACGCCCATAAAAGACTGCACTAGGCGCTCAGCACTAAAACCTTGTGCGAACCATTTATGAGATACGGGGGCTCGCTCTCTCAAAAGGCTCGCCGAATTCGAAGAGTGGCAACGAAGAACACACAAAGGTAAAGATATAAGAAAGGCTGACGTCAGCACAAGCATATTGTCTCATCTTCCACCGTAACTACAACGCGCAAGTTCCCAACTGCAGAAGCAGCACGAAATGCTTGATGCAGCAGGGGCATCAGCTTCCTACTCGGCGAATTGCATTCATTCGTGAAGTCCGGGGGGAGCAGATGATTCAGGCACTGTAAGGGAGTTGTTGAGGACCAACAATATAAAAGGTATATTCCAGAGCACAGTTGCGAGCACTCCTCATCGGTTAGTGAACTGCCCTGTGTTCAAACGAATCCACATCGTTCACTCAAAAATGATGTGGCCTTTGCCACCTTTGACTCAGCTGCGGCCTAATCATATGCAGAAAAGGCCCCAGTGCTGTGCGTCAGAGCCTACTTACCAAAAGAGCTGTGACTGTGCATATTCTGCTTGAGACTGAACCACACAAGACAAAGGGCGCAAGCCACGAGAAAGAAATACGAATCAGGCTTCTTATATAGACAATGAAAAGTCATCTTCGCGAGTCAGCAAAAATGCGTTAAACTGCCGCAGCCGCGCTTACAGGACGATTTGTTCATCTGCGCAACTGAAAACGCACAACACAACGCAAGCACTCTTACTGCGCAGTTAACTGTTGCCGAATGTCAAAGATCCGCAGCGCTGTTACTAAAAAAGGCGGATTCGCAGCTTCGCTGGTCGTTGAACTTGGAAAAACTACCAGTTTGACTTATGTGCCCTTCAACTTGCGTGGGCGCCGAAAATCTCCTGGCACCTTATATATAGTGAATCCTTACCAGCGGAGAAGTACAGGGCCGTAAAATGTACTTCACTGCTTGACAAGCTCCTGAGAATGTCATCCGCCAAAGAGCAAGTTGACACCCAGACTGAAGGGACCCATCCTAAGCTGTCTTCCCTCGAACGCCACTGCACAGAATAGAATTCGTCGTTGCCCGGCCCCTCTCCGGCGATTTGAGGAAATATATGGGGAAAAAAGAAGGTGGGCAGGTTTTGGGGAAACTTGATATCCTCCCTGTCGACTTCCCTCGTGTTAAAAATCTGCACAAAGCAATCACATACCGCCATTCCTTTAATCCTTTGGTGTGGATTTTCGACGTGGCACGCCCCTTCTGCAATTAAGTTACGTACTGAACTACAATGAAAACGCAGAGATGGCATGCATCATACATGACTAGCCTAGTTAACTATTAACTGTAGGGATTCCGCTGCTCCACCCTGCTGAGCTCACAGCCAAAGAGCGCCCTCCTAGCGACGCAGCGAGCGGGCTGGTTGTTGAAGAACTCTCATCGGATAGATTAGCAATCAAGTAGCCCACGGTTATCGAGGTGAAAGGCTCCAGGCACGCAAGCCGAATTTTGAGGGAATTACTCTTCTGCTCGATTATGCGAAATGCAGCTGAAGCTGCAATCGTGCTCGGTGATTGCCCCACAGCGGACTGTACCTCCAAAAGAACAACTGCCTGAGCGCGAACAAATGGAATTGCACTGCAGTCGCCCCAACGTTCTCCACAAAGAATACCGCAAATTACTCGTCTAGTAGCCTCACAACCTCTGAAAGAGCCTCAGGCGAGTCAAGCTCTATCTCCCCAGCGGGTGCTTATCCGAGAGAGAAGATGAATCCTTACCTTTGCAAAATCGTTTACAACAAACGGGGTACGAAGAAGGAAATCCCCAGTAGCAGTCAAATCAGTGGTGCCAACAATCAGTCGAACAGGAGAATGTTTTGCAAGGTACTGGCCTGGGGGTATAGCTAAGTAGCTGGCAACAACTTTGAGCTCGGCCGAAGCTTGAGAAGCCGGCTCTGAGGGCAAGTGGCAAACGCACGTTTAGTCACTCACCCAGGAAGCGTGAGCTCCCCTCATAGAAGAAACCTCAAAGGAGCTCATCAAGCGGGAGCGAGTTAAAAGTAGCTGAGCAGCAAAAAGGTGCTTGCGTACCTCTGCACGAAGCCCCGAATGCCTGTACTCTAAAGCTGTCGTTTGTCACCTGCGAGATCAGCAGCCGAGGTATGCCGGCTACGGAGTGAGGTGCCCCTGTAAAGATGATCGGTTGCGGATATATTGGCTTCGAAAACTGAACAGTGCTTTCATTGCCGCTGGCCAGCATCCAGGACACAGCCATGTTGGCCGCTGCACCAGGCAGATCGCATGCAAGAAGGCTGGACTGAAGATGCATGAACTGCGGATTCCAAACCTGGCAACACACTACAGACAGTTGACTGTGAAGCGCAATGAATTCTAACCTCCAGGCGTCGGTGTTTGAGAAGCTGAAAGCAAACAGAGCGCAGCACAGGGGGATGTTTTAAGGTTTGCTTTGCCTTTTGAAATGCCAAAGTGTGCCAGAAGAAGCGTTTTCAGAGTTTGATGACGGGCTTGCTAAGACAAAAAGCCAGTGCTCACTTGTCTGGACATCGCAGTACTCCAGGATGGTGCCAAGCCTCAGCTTTCGATAACAGTGCATGAGATCCTTGTACAATGTTGGGTTGTCCGCCATATGGGTGCGGCACTTCCACTCAATATGGCCGCAGACGTAAGTGCACTGAAAGGTGTTGGCTTTAGTGGAATCTTTCGATGTGGCCGTACTGCAGTCCGGTGCCAAGGTGCCTGTAATTGGAAACAAATAATATTCTCGAAAAATATATTTGGACGCAAGGCCAACGACAATTTTTCTTTGCAGCTACTGAGAGCTCACCACTTCGTTGGGATGTCATTCTCGCGTCCGAACCTGAGCAGGTCCAGGCATATTACAGTATTGCAGAGCATGCAAAAGGAGCAAAAACCAACATGCCGCGCTGTGCCACCTTTGACTCTATTGGCTAGACACGTAGTGAGCTCCGGTGCAGCTCACCTAAGCAAAAAACTCCTTTGATCCACGTATTATCTCCGCATTTGCCATTCTGCGGCCCAGCTTCATAGTGCCAGGACGGCGGTGTCGACATCCAGAGAGCACGGTTGTACTTTGCAATGATGACTCCGCCTTCACCTCCCCAGTACTGTGACAAAGTAGACTTCCACGCATATGCAGTGGCTTGAGCCTCCGCTGGTGTGCAGGGCCCCAATGCGGAGCCCGTGCAAGTGCAGCTGCCAGTGTGTGGATCTTCAGGGCCTGGTGACTGAATAAAGCATGCGACCGAGTTGCTATTCGGGATGTAGCAATCTTGGATCGCGTTAGCAACACACAGCCAAGGGTTGATGACTGAGGAACAGTCTCCGGCGCTCTTTTTTGTGCAAGCTTCTCTGCACGCCCAATCATCCGATTCTGTAGCTCCCCCAATCGTCGAAAATGCCCTTTGACACAACGGCCCTGCAAGTAACACCCGCTGAAGCCGCAGCGGCTAAACTTACTCTTCTACGCTAAAGGCATCAAGTACAACATGCAATACATGTCCCACAACGCGCAATGAGAGAGACGGCGAAGGCAGTGCACTAGAAGGTCGATGGAGGTGTCCAGAAAACTGAAATGGGGAGAATGGAGGGATGTAAACTGAGCTCGGAAAAGGCGAATGCAACGCAGAGTGTCTTACGTCTAACCGGCAACTTGTTAGTTAGGGAGTCCTCGACAGCATCTGCAACATCACGAATAAATCTGTACGGGCTGATGAAACAGTTTGTTAAAGGAACACAAGCTCTAAATGTGCTGCGCCGATCAATGTCGATGCTGCGATGCGACAAAAGAACGTCCAGCGATTCACATTAACTAGGCTTGGGGGCTTCACAATTCGAGCTGCATTCTTCGTTCAAATAAGTGTAGGTTTCACCTCACCTTGACACAGCACATGCGTAGTCGACGACTTCTCGCACACCGGGTTCAAGTCATCCATTATAACCAAAGACCCTGTCCCGGAACCCTGACTCTTGTAAACAAGGAAGCCGCCTAGGCTGACAGTTGTGCCTTTCGGAGCATTCTGAATCCAGCCCTGACTCACAGCTGCAGCGTTCGCCGGACAAGGTCTGGCGCTGTTCGGGCACGCACACGCGTCACCCCCCGCATCCTTCTCTCCTGTTGTCCTGTATATGTTGCAGATCATCGAGAGGGAGTCCGACGAAATAGAAAGGTCTGGAAAACTCAAACACGTAAAACTAAGCTGCCATTATAGTGTTTCAGACACCGATGGGCCTCGGAATACAAACTGCTTCGAATACCATTTTTTCGCATTTTATGCGGGACGCAACGGCGAAAGAGACTGGTCGTGGCTTACTCGGAGCACAATTCCAAGCTATGTAGTATGCTACTTTGTCTTCAGGGCAGTTGCGCAGGGCATTTGTAATTCCAGCTAGCGATATTTTCTCGCTGTATATTTGCCCGTTGAATATAGAATCAGGCAGCAAACTCTTGACACTTTGCGTGATGTCAGTTATAGGGCAGCCACTAATCTTCTTGCCGTAGTTGAGTGTTTCCTCATGCCCGCCGACAACTTTCACCAGTGTCCACCGCTCGTACGGTGCGCAGCTATGTTCAATTTCCAGTTCGGCTCCGTCAGTGCTTTTCAATATTTCGGAAAACTCTGGAAAGGTACAGCATTCAAACGCACAGAGAAGCCAAAATGAAGGTTTTACAGAGAGGGTGAGTGAGCTGCCATTACTATGGCGGCAAAGGCAAGTTGTTCCCGCCTTGGACGATCCCCTTTAAAGACTGACCAAACTGAGATTTGTCCTCATATTCCCATCTTTTTTCTGCAAAGCACAATCCAGGAAAATATTACGCATCGAGTGGCAACAGGAGAAAGTCTACCGGCGTGGTACGCTGCTGAGATTATTCCCCGTAGTCAGATCTAGTCAAGACGCCTTTGCAGACTTTAATGATTCTTTTTGGGCCCTAAAATCTGTTAAATCATGCTGAAGTGGGACTCATAAAAAGTTTAAGGAAAACTAACCGAAAATGCACGCCTGAGCCCGTGCAGTCGCTGATGAATCAAGAGACGGAAGTTTGGTGAAGTCGTAGCTCCGCCAAAAACTTGCGAACTGTTCGTAGGAATTTAATGCCGAGAATCTCGAGTAGAATAACCTCCAAAGAGTGACGCAAGGCAGCCTACAAAACGGCTGGTCGTTACCCCTGTAACAGTTGGGCCCCATATTTCCTGCATTAAAAAATTACAGAAGGGTCCACAGCTATAAATCACCGAAAAATCAAGCTAATACAAGCTTCCGGACAACAGAGATTAGTGGGACTCGAGCTTTAACGAAAATACAAGCGAACCCAAAAACTCCTCAGGGGCTGTTGTAGTTGTTGTAGTTGTCGTCATCGGTGCGGTACCTACATCAAAACCGAACATAGCAAGAGAAAGCATGTCGAGTGCAAAATAAATATTTGAGGATCCGTGCAGAACTAATCGTATCACGCACGTGTAAAGGAGTGCCAAATAAAGCAAAATTACTCCAAAATGTCAATATTCGAAGAGACCCACTGACACACGCCTGGCCTGTGAAGGTTGAAGTTGCCGCGCAATATACTTACTTCTGCAAAGAGCCCGAACAAACTTATATTCACATGGATTTGTAGAAAGGTCGAAGGCCTGGTATATATCCCCATAAGCGAGGTAACGAATTGAATCTTTCATGTAGACTTGTGCCTTGGGCCTGAGGCCATCTTTCCACGACTCCTTGGCTTTCGCCTCTTGTACAGTACAAGGTACAGTGCCACTAGGGCACTCGCAGGAGTTTTCCGAGTAGTTCCACGAAGTTGTTCTCTTCGCCTCGCATGCAGGGAGCGGGCTCGCTGACGGACATGAACCACAGTGATAAGGAAAGCTGTTCAACGTTGACAGAAGCCACAGGGTTTCAAAATATTGCTTCAGTGGAGCTGATGCGTGGGGTGGATACTTCTGCCTACAGCACCAACACAGTTGAGGCCTACGGGAGTTTAGCAGCTTACGTGGAACGCAAGAATAGAAAAAACTATACAGATAGTCATCGGATGGAGGCGAAGAGCACAAGTCAGAAAGGGCAGGCTCCTCTGGCAGATCCTGGAACTCCAATTCGCAGAAAAGCCTGTTGTTTGTCTCCTTGTCTCTTTCGCAAGCCGCAGCTACCTCGACGCCTTGAGAGTACAGCATGCAGTTGTCGTCTCCGACATACGCAGTTGGGTGGCCGGTGAGGAAATCCACAACGCGCAGCTCTTTGTCCTTGCAAAGCGTTTCGCCACCGAAAACTGAGCTTGAAAGCAGTTCGTCGAGTGCATACTCTTGGAATCCGTCTGCGAACAAGTTGAAAGGTTTGAAAATAAAATTTATTCTTAAACGGTGGAAATAAATAAAAAGGTAAACAAACAAAAGATAAATAATTGAAAGATAGATGGTAAATGAAAAATATAAATGAATTGGAAAATAAATAAATTGACAAACTAATTCAAAGATAAGCAAAAAAAAGAATAAACAAATCAAGAAACAAATTTGTGGGGACAACTGCGCTGCACGTCACATCCGAGCGAGCAGCCTGAAGAAGCACTAAGCGCACAAAGAAATGCCAGCTCTACTGCAAGAGTTGATAAGGAACTGCAGCTCCTAACTGGTATGAAAATTGACTACGGCGAGCTATTCTGCAAATCACCGTATTGCTCTAGAGGGGCAAAGCTGGGGCGGGAGCCTGAAAGATTGCACACGAACATGCAGTTGCCTGAAGAGTTTCGTTCACCTAACTGTCACGTAGGATTCTGTAAAGCCGATTCTACTGAAATCTGAGGGCCAAGCAAGCTCGCAGGTAACTTTAATTCGCGCTGGAACAAACACTGTCGGCCCCGCATTGGTCTGTGACCCAAAAGTATAAGCGATTTGGGCGTTAAGTAGCAGATGTGGCTGCGCACCGAAAGAACATTCGTCCTGGAGTTTTGTGTATATGGATACTTCTACTTGAGGCTTGTCTCCCAGGCGGTTGCTCTCCCAAAACTCGGTGAAGCAACGCATTGGGTTGCTGCATGGAAGAAAAAGCCTAGTAGCCTCTTCATTCCACACCTCCTCGCAGACAAAAGTGCACTGCTCTTGCATGGTTGAAGTGGTTTCAAACTTGCACTGAGGACCGCCATTTTCATGATTTGCCGCAGAGCGTACTGGAGGAAGGGGAACAGCAGCACGCGCTCACAATCAGTTCGTCAGTGTCGGAGGCAAAAGCGGCACCTACTCGTCTGTGTGGTTGCAGTTTTGCCTCAGATTTATCCCAACACCACAGAATTGTGCTGAACTCAATGAAAAAAGACCAATATCTAGCGCTTGCAAACAATGGGGGGCATGCTTACGCCGGAGAGAGTCAATAGGGGGGGCAGACACTTGAGCAGGAACACCAAGAAGCAGAATAGCAAGTCCGGAGATTAGCACAAGTAACTTTTGCGTTGCCATTGTAAAGCCGCTGCATTATTGCCCAGATAAAGTGGGTCACCTCCCACAGTACTGCCAGGTCCATAGACCCGATACAGGGTCATCGACTTCCACTATCCCTGATGTTAAGAGCAGGAATATGGGCCAACTTCAACTCATTAAATAAAAGCCAGTCTGTTGGGGGTTGCTGGAGCAGTTTCTCTTGGGGAAGCTTGCAGACCCATCCCTCAAATACGGCAGATACGCACCCGCCACTGCCGACTAGCCAAAGGCCAGAGTTCTCCTTAATGAATTATGTCTCACCGCAAAATGCCTTACATGTAACGTGTAGTGTGCGGATTATCTCTCTGCACACGAAGCCAATCATGGAGGCGAAGAAGAAAAGAGATAATAAAAACGTTAATATTGGTTGCTCGCCACGCACCGGAAGATGGTCAGGTTCCAGAGCCACCCCATGTAGTCTCCCTACACCTACAAATTTAGTGAATATATGTCATTTTTTTCTTGGAAAAATGACATAATCTGCGTACAGTCACAGGGCTGTCTTTGCATGGATCGTCTGCGCGTGTTGTTCTTGCGTTGCGAAGATGAGCGTCCTTGTAGTGCCGGGCACTACAATTGACCCTCGCTGCTACACCCGAGACTTTCTAACACGGAAAGCATGAGTAATATCGAATAATATTAAGGCATAAAGCACCGTAGGATAGTTGAGAACCATAAGAGAGAACAATGGGCTCATTAGCCCGCACCAGGTGCGAGTTTGGTTGCGATTTTGATCGCGAGGTTTGGTGCCGCGACGCGACTCGGGCACTGATCCTCGGCGAAGGTCAGCTTTCAGTTCTATTATTCTGGGTTTCCGCACCTCAATAATATGAACTCAACTGTATGGGGATTTTCAAGGTATTTCATAGTAGTCATCTATAGTCAGGTACCTTTGACCAACTGAGCCGAGCGACCGCCGAGTCGGGCTCGCCAAGGGACGTACGTAGTAACAGTGAAGACCGCTGTTCACTACAGTCCTGGTCACCGTGCAGCCCTGCGTCTGCTCCACTATGACTGTCCGGGAGATACAGACAGTACGCAGAATATCTTTATTTCAAATACAGGGTTTTTCGATTTTTGATCTTAGATTGGTCTTCGCCAGGTGGCGAGGGAGAGTACCGCACACACTATTCCAGTGGTCTGCGTCTTCTGTAGGGGCTTCCGCAGACCATTATGCGGCTGTTTCTCCATTTTGTACATTATAATAGAGAGAAAAGAATGAATTCTGTTAAGATACCACTAGCATGCACTACAAAGCTCCGTTGGTAGAGGCATCCCATGAAAATCTTTGCTTGCTGCCTGACCACCGGCGCCGAAGAGTTAATAATATGGTGAGAAGCAAAATCCAACCACTAGAGCAACCTTCTTCGAAACTGCGAATACAAAATAGTTTGTGTGATTTTTGCTTGCATAATGCTTCTGCAAAAGTTGTTGAATACTAACAAGCTTCCCGGCATCGCGTTGCTGCTGTACTGTACAGGCCGCTCATGCGCCCGCCTGAGGTGCTTTTTAAAGCCAGTATTAATGTCTTCGGCAGTTGTAACGACCACTGAATTCGAACAGTATACATATATCTGCAGGAACCCCGTTAAGCGATAGGCCCCTAATAATTTGTGGGGACGCTGGATAGTAAAGCCTTCCACTTCTGGTCCTGTGTGAGGAAGCTTTTTGCTTACACGGCGTCTGCCTGGTCCATTATATGCTGTAAAATTGATTGTACACTGATCTGGGATGGAACTGGGTTGGAGAGAGAACGCTTTTCCTTCATGCTGCTGCAGCAGCTTCTCGCCTTGGAATGTAAAGGACTCTGCTAGTTCAAAGTTGAAACTTTCGTGACTACATGCAGAGTTTGAAGCGCTGATAACATAGTCACTCAGTTCGCCGCGTCTGCCACTACTTGCGACAAAATTCATATTTGCATTCATATTGCACGTACATAGTGTAAAGTCGCTACACTTGCCCCTCTCCATGTTAAAGAACTCGTTTCTTGTAGAGCATTTCCAAGCGACAATTGCAGCCTTACGTGGACGCATCTATGTGCGCCATGTAATAATGCAAGGGTCAGTATTTGGAGCGCTACGCGCCACTGACGTAAGGGAAAACAACATTTTAAGCAAGTGCTATCAATTATCAACTTGATACGTGTAATACTAATAAGCAGAGCAGTGAGGCGCTTGCACTGTTGATGAGCACATGAAACTAAATTGCCTAATGCAATCGCGAACACTGCTGCCAATTGGAAAAGGCAGCTACTCAGTATCTCATTATTCTCTTATGAACATGATTCCCTCGAACGGCTTGAGACCAAAAGAACAAAGCGGCGCATAAATGACTTCAATGGCTAATGACCGCAAAACAAAGTTAATCATGGCTCTCGCCCTCAAAGAAGAACGGTTGAGTTACAGTACACTGTGGGGATCTCAACTGAACATCACTTAATCGTGGCGGGAGGCCATGTCACCTGAGGATAGCCTGCCAGCCGGGCTTAACCAGCCGTTACTTCGCCAGAAGACTTCCCGGTTGCTTAGTTCACTGACTGGCTCAAGTACTGTCCGGCTTAACCACGATAACTCAGGCAAGAGTTTGTGTGTGCACTCACAAGATTAACATTTTGAAACTTATTCCTTGGCCATGTTCACCAGCTCAACGTACCGACCTCTTAGACCTAACGCCTTCTGTACGTCAACACTGTGCTGGATAAACCAAAGTACTACAACGATGCCAACAATCGTCCCAACAAGCAGCATGACTACCATTGTAATCATCCTGTTACGCCGTTCCCTTTCAAGATCTTCTGCCACTGGCCAGTCAGAAACACACTCACAAACGGAAAAGACACCAGTTAGCACAGGTATTGATCTGGTACATCCCTGAAGCGGCACTTAGCAGAAGGCAGTTCTCTCTACCAACCTACCCACACAGAAGACCGAAGAAAATTGGCTCTTCGAGCACTTCTCCTCTGCGGTGAGCTCATTAAAGTCCGTGATGCTTTCCTTGAATGTACGCGTCTCGCAGTCGAACGCCGCGAAGCCGGCCAGTGGGATAACCGCTGAATCACAAGCCTGACGCACAAGAGGCCTATGTTAGAGTTTCCTGCTGCCTGCTTACCTTTACTTATAGACGGCAGAGCTTGTTGATTTAAGGTGAAATTCGAATGCCGGTAGAGGCTACGTGTCAAAGTACCAATGCTACTTTCTTGGCACAAAACCATCATGCTCTGATTCCAAAACAAACGCGATGCTTCTGCCTCCGCGAGCACGCATGGTCTTGTATACGTTGGGCACCTGCATGTGCGGTACTGAGAAAACGATTCGCAAAAGCAAAGGGCGGGACGATAGGCGTGAAGAGTACAAAAACGGATGCCTGAGTAGTGCATCACGCTTGATGTGCACGAAGGGTGCCGTGAATGCGCTGTGCGGAATTTCCGGTTATGGAGCCTTCAGCTCTGGCCAGACATCAAAAGCTGGAGCAACGAACATTACTCACTTGAGTATCAAAACGCGTGTCCAAGCTAAAAGTACTCATGTCCACGATGTCGCAAGTTATGTCGTCTCTCACACTTGGGTCCTGTGTAGTGGTAGTGGTAGAATTAAGCCTGTCAGCTCTCCACTCTTCAATTGATGGCTCTGGCTTGGGCGTTAGAGACAGAGTCACTGAGTCATCGAACTCGTCTGAAAGGTGTTAATCGCACGTATTAGAAGGAAGACACGAAGAGGTGCGGCGTTGCGCGACAGCCTAGCAGTTGCTCAGCTGGCCTGTAAGAGCGATTAAATGGCTTTTCCTGAACTGGCCTCTACGAGAGATTGAGTAGCTTTTCCTCAGCTTACAGTTAAGCTGATTCACAAACGTGTTCTGTGGTGCACAGGGAAACAAACGCACCGCAGAGCTGTTGGAAGTTGCAAGCTTCTGCTTGCACAGTCCCTGCATCACGATTTTTGTCTGCACCTGCAGCACAAAATGCTTCAAAAAGTAGCCACAAATAACCAGATATTCATTCATCCTGTGAAATGGCTGAGTTTGTCTGGTCATAAATCGTACTCGATATACTCCCCAGTCGGCACTGCTGGCCTCCAGTTGTGCTGGGCTCCACAATCCGTCGTGTACGTATTCTAACACTTCCTTCCAATCCTCCTATGCTGCTGCGGCAGGTGGCACTACAGGCGGACCACTCTCCCCATTCTGAGTATTTGCAATCTCTTGGTATGAGCTTGCAGAAAACTATTCCTCTCCCAGGGAAAGTAGTATCGTTAGTGGCGCATTCATTGTCAAAACCTGTAGTCTGCCGCTGTGTAGAGAAGCACGATAAGAAGTCAACCTTATTTTCCTCACAACTTTCCCTGATCTCAACGCATTTTGCCTTGCATTCTTCAGAGGTTAGAGCATCCGACTTGGATGTTACATTTTCGCAGTTGATGTCGACGTTGTCTGCAGGCACATTCCCTTGGGTGAAAAGTAGGCCATTCCTAGTTAAATTAATTACGCGCAAAAGTTGCACAGGGCGCTTATGGGAAAGGAACTAAACAAGATGGAAAATAAAGACATACATGGCGTGATAGCAGCTAGCTCTTGCTGGGCGTGAAGTCCATTAGCGCAGTACTCGTTCATCTCGGCAGAGCTTGCAAAAGTGGTGTATGTAGCAGCGTCTATTGGCTGCGCTATGCTCTTGCTGTTGCTTAGGGGACAAAATATTTTGCTAGCGTCTGCGGCAGCAAAGTACAGTTTTGAGTCAGCTGTTCCAGCCATTCCTTTGCCGAACATGGCCCCAGCTGAGTCCTGGGAGGGACAAATATTTGCTGGTATTGAAGAGAATAAGCTTTCGCGCGTCTCATACACCTCTGCGGCTGTGCAGGGAACAGCATTGGGCGCTAGGCACAAGCACTGTGGAGAAGAAGAGCTCGGATCTAAGAAGCGGAACTCTGAAGACTCGTCATCATTCATCCGGGTAAGACTTGGAAAACATTTTGGAAGCGCCGTTTCTGAAAAAGCAGCAGAATCCACGGTGAATAGAAATGTATTCCACTGTGACACACATGATAACTGAAAACACAAATTGCTGCGGCATTGCCCGTTACTCGTACCTGTGGCAAGCGTTTCCGTGTGAATGCAGCTGCCGCTCAGCAGCGATTCCTCAAGAACAGTCTCGGCAAAACATTGAAGAGGAGTCTGTTGCTTTGATTCTGCTTCTTTCGAGCACGAATCTATAATATTTTTGCAGCGTTCTTTGCAGAACTTCTTAGTCTGTGGAATTTCATGTATAGGCAAAATATCGTCACAGCCTGTGGAAAACATCATTCATACGGTTTGCTCTGCAGTGAAACAGCCAGCGACTTTAAGCAAAACTGGCAAAGCGAGGCGGAATCAACTGCAGGGGTGCAATAAATAATTTCCCATTTGAGAGAAAAGGGCATACTAGGGTCTCGATCATTCCTGCAAGGCTCCAAGGAATCCGGGCACCCTTCACTCTGCGTATCTGCGCTCCATCATCTCAGCGCAGGCACGAAGAAACCATATGAATGCCTAGCATTCATAAGGTAGAAATACGTATGACGGTGCGTATGCGTCCTTACCCTGATACACTGGGGTTCCGTCAGTGGAATTCTCGTTCAGGCTAAGCCTGTAGCGCTTTGCACTTTGACCATTAAGCAAACACCTAAAACATCAACAAACATAGTATCTGCCGGAGCTGCTTCACATTGGGGCTACTACAGTGTACTAGTTGGTGTTGGAGATAGTAAAAGCATGTGTACGTCTTACGGCGCATCACAAGAAGACCACTCCGACCACTTAACACCCTCAGTGGGAGTTACTTCAGCGCTGCTAATTTGCAGCGCGCTGGGGGGCTCTGTTGAGCTCAGGGCATCTCGACCTGCAATAAAAAATCGAAGTAGTGATGCTGCTTAGTTATTGCACCCTTTCGGGAAATGTTAGCTCACTAAGTTCCTTTATTTTTGAGACAGCCGGCTGCGTGTGAAAAATGCAGTATGGCTACGCAGCGCCAGGTTACGTTTCCTCTGCCTTGGGGATCAGAGTGCTTGCGAGGCACGGTTTTGTGGTTGGGCGCTTACAATGATAGTGCTCAAGCCCTGCAAAACAACTGTGTCTGCATCCTGTGTACCAACTCACCTACGCATCGCGACGCATCATATTCTTTCAAGTTAAGCGAAGCGCAGGCTCCACCAGCCTCTGCGAAAACCAGCTTTTCCCTGGAAGATGTTCTTACAGGTGAAACACCGAATTCGAGTAGCATTTCGGTGCAGGCTGACCATTCTGTCCATTCGGAGTGAATGCAGAACGACTCGCAAGGCGTAGGTGTATCGAGCACACATGTCACTGCCTCCTCCAAAATACACGGAGCACCATTGCCTCTGGCGGGCAATAATTCAGGCCTCTGACGCTTTCTCAATGGACGTGGCGCATTTGGACTAACAGGTAGCAAAAACGTTGAAAAGAAACGCAGCAAAGTGACGAACTTTCAAGCTAGCTTCTCGTCTCGCACTGTGAAGTTGTCTGCTTTTCTGGCTGGTGACTTTAACTTGTTAAACACTTTACACGTTAACTGGAAACTGCTGCCATCTTACTCTGACGGCATGCAAGTCGCTGAACACTCTGACCACTCTTCCCAATCTCCCGGAAGGCAATCAGCATTTTCGGGCCAATCCCAAGTTGGTGCAGCAGTCGTAGTAGTGGTAGTCAATGAAGCGGCTGCGCCGGCAGCTCACAAAGTCCCAAATAAAATTTTGCTAATTTTGCCAGTGTAGTGAGGATTAGAAAACAAGAAGCTGCATGAGTCGACTAAGCTGCGTCATTATTAGTCACACGGATTTAAACGCCTTCTGAATGGATTTAGTTTCGCGATTGGGTTACATGGGCAAAACACAAGGGGAGTCTCCACAACGCATTGATTATAGCCGCTTCTGTGGAGTGTGTCGCCGAAAACAACGTCGTCTACTGAATATAGGGGTATCTCCCTTTGTTGCCATTGGAGGTTCGAAGTGGAAGTGCAGATATCAGTTGCCACCTGCATAAAGCCCCAGGCTACAGGCTTTACGGTTTCCCAGCTGGTACATATGTCTCCTGGAAGAACGAACACACACGCAACTAATTCATCGTCAGTAAATACCACTCAAATCTTTGTTCCCAGTAGCTGGCCCCCTTTCCGCTAAGCAGGCAGCTACTGTTCTGCCTTGCAAGATATGAGGTGGCACTGAGCCTTGGCCGCTGACCCCATGGAGACACGTCTTTGGTCCAGTAGGTCCTGTCCTGTTCAACCTGTTGAGTTGTACAGGGCTTGAATCCCTGGGGGCACGAACAGCTCATGGCCTCAGCATTCCATCCCAAGTCAGCAGCGTACTCAGCGTGGGTCATGTCAATGACCCTGCAGTTGAGGCTCTCTGAGTACACAAAGCATTGCATGCGCGCTTAATCCGTCTGAAAACAGTGAAAAAGGTTTTAGTTGCAACCAGTAGTGAGTTCTGAATGGCTTGCTTGTCAAAAGCGATAGATGAAATAAGGTCTTACCTCCTGCTGGAGGAGTAGTCGTCGTTGTTGTCGTCGTTTGCGAGCTTTGGACATCTGTACCTCACACATCTAGAGCATTTGCCTTAGTTACAGAGGCAGAACGACGCTTCCGCTCTTGTCAACCCAAACAATCGTGATAGTAGTCATTACTCTTTGATATTTCTCTCTTCTGAAGAAACGGTGAAATTTTGGATTGTGACCCTTAGAAAGGCCACTTACATGATGCGACGTAGCACTTTGCTTTAAGTTCTGCTGAAGCAAGGACTAGAAAGCAGTTCCAAATATTTGGGGGGGAGCATGAACTAGATACTGCTGTGCATTCTTGGACGCATTGTGCGTCTGTTGCAGCCCCCTGAGCATCACACAAGCAGAACGACAAGAGGTTTGCTCGCGTCGTGGAGAAGCTCGGATGCTATGAGGCTCGTCATATACCAAGAAATCCCACATTTCTGGCGGCTATGAAGCTCCGTTTCGTCGACATGCCACTCAAATGGAGTGGGGAGTCATAGATTAGTTATGAAGACAAGCGTACATTCTTTGCCTTCGCCTCGGCGCACAAAGGTAGAAGGTCTGAGCAGGCAGCGTAAAGGAAAGTACAAGTTCCTGTAACTCTTCGGGAAAATTTTCTGAAAGAAAAGGCTCGTACCCACGCGCTGAAAAAAGCACGATTTCGCAGATATGCTAAGGCCTTCTCCGTAGGCAGTTAAAACTTGGTTACCTGTAATGGTTTCTACGGCTTCAGAGTGTCCTGCAAGCAGTGCACGAACCACAAAACCGGCATTGAAGGCAGCTGCCAACTCCCAAAGCCTGCGTTTGGATAGATCATGGAGGGATGGCTATATGCTGGAGCTGCAGCTGGCGGCTGAAGCAGCAGAAGCTTTTGCTTACGGTTTTCGACATGAAGAGCTACTATCTTCATGCTTGCCGATCTATCAGTGGATTCTTTAAACACAAAGTTAGTACACGAATCGTGGGAAACAACGAAAATTTTGGGGGTCCACTGAGCGATGCTGAAGCTAGCTATGGAGTCTTGCATAAGCACGGTTTCGACCTGACTCGCCGGCGTTACCACTAAGGAGCCAAAAATCAGTGGAGGGCGAGATGCAAACAGTTCGGTAGAATACTCAACACGTTTAAAACCACCGACAGTAATGTCGAATGACTTTGTCTGTAGGCAAGGAGCACAGAGGCGCGCAATGTGCAATACAAGATTAGGAGTTGGCATCCAGCAGAATGTTGCTAACTTACTTGAGAGGTGTCCAGACATGAAGCCGTAGCCAAAGAAATGCCTCAAATGAGATTAAATGAAAAATCAGGCAGCTGCTTTCGCTTGAAGTTATGAAACTTCTTCGTGCCAGTGTATTTTCGGTGTGCGGGATGCTTCCCGAGTAGTAGGAGCAGCGTGGCTGGTTCGTATTTAAGTTCTCACCTCGATTGACAACTTGTTTGTTTTGCAGCCAGAAGAGCACTGAGAGGTGGAGACCGAGTCCATAAAAAGGTAGCCGACTGTGTACTCGACCTGACTTGCGGTTGTAGACGTGCTGTGAATGGTAATGCTTGCCGACGAGGAGTCAAGATGTGAAATTGCAATCCAAGGAATATCTGTCATAGAGAGATCGGCCGGAATATTCTGAATCTGCGTCAGGATGACGGGCTGCAGCATGTGCCACATGCATAGAACATTGTGACGTCTGACGTATAGTGCAGATGGCGTTTGTTTTGATCACTGTAGCAATTGTGGAGATTTTTCCCATTCCCCTTGGTACGGCGGACAAGCCCAAGAGCTTTTACCCACATCTGAAGAGTGCAGCTGGACCCCTGGAAGAAGATCAACCTCCTGGCCGACTTTTACCACAGTGGTAGCGACGCGGAGCGCTGAACTAGCGTTCGGGATTGTGAAACTATCTTCTGAAATGGCAATCCAGCTCACTTCAGCAGATGCCGTCGCGTAGCCTGAGAATGGAATTTTCCCATGCATATACGAAAGAATAAAAACCAGGAATCAACATTCTGGATTCTCCAAATGTCCCGCACAACAAATTTGTCAGCATGTAAGCCAAACTGCATAACGCGATGCAGCCCCGGTCTGCGCGCCCACCCAGTCTGCAGTAGTCCAATGCTAAGCGAATCATGAAGCCTGTTTCTGATACGCCCGTAACTTGTACCTGCCCAAATGTATTAAGTGGCCTTAGGAGGCCTGCAGAGAAGACAGGCAAAGCTGCTATCTAAAGAAATGGTTAGAATACCATTTGAAGGCTGGCAACTGTCAAGGCTAATTTTGGCAGTGTCAGTGATCCAGGTTCCATGAATCGTTGAGCTTCTGGAGAAATGCACAGCGTACTTGTAAATATAACTGGATGCGGCGAAACGCTAGACGAAAAAGTCACGCTTTTCCACTGGGTTGTTAACGTCACAACGCCAGTAATCATATTCGAATCTGCCGAGAGAAAGCCAAGCAGCGACTTCGAAAAAATACACGTTCCAGCATTCGTGCCAACTCTTAGAGAAACGCACAAACATTTAGCATAGCGCATTAGGCTGCACTACCTTGTCACGTGCTGCGTTCAACACCATGCCGCAGCTTCAGCATACCCTTTTCAATTTGGTCCGTCAGTTCTGCAAGCGCACAATGCACTGAATAGGTACACTCGGCATATGACCAAAACGACGTTGCGAGTATGCAATATTCTAAATCATGAGGTGAAGCACACTCAATTATAAGCCAAAAATTGCTGCAGATGATCCACATGAATTTACCGAAAGGGATACTGCATTGCCTCAAGACCGGGTCGTCGTCCTTCGCCAGGGAAAAACAGGCTGAAACATTCGAAGGTTCACTACTTTCGCATTTGTTTTGTGCTTCGTAACATGCATACGCGCACTGGTAGTCTGTCACATTGATTTTGTCGACAGACACCGCCTCATCGCAATTTCGGCGTAGCTCTGCAAAAGCAGGAGCAAAACGCACCTTGTATTACAGAATTCCGACTAACATTTCCCCGAGGCATTGCACACTTTAACAGTGAGAAGCAGGCGTGTCTGCTACTTGGTATCACTTCTGGTTAGCTGCAGAGTGCCTGCTGAAGGATACTGCAATTGAGTGCTTGGAAACACAAATGGCCCTTATAGGTTTTCAAAAGATGACGTGCAGTTTGTGATCACCTGTCTGATCCGCGTACGTGGGTGCAGCGTCAACTGCAGGAAAATACAAGATCGAGGAAATAAGAATATTCTTTCAAAAGGAAGCAAATGCTTTGGGCAGCGCTAATCTGATGGTACTCGGCTGAACAAAATTCCAAACAACAGGTGCTGCTTCGTTCATCAGTTCAAAATCACCTCGGCAGAAGATGCCCTTATATTCTGATTTCTGGGCACATGCTGAATCATTTACGATTCCAAAATCCGTAAACGTTGACCCTGAGTCCTCCATAACCCTCATGTTGCGCATCATGATGGCCCCGCTTTTTCCTTCAAAGCGTTCTTTGAAGTCATTTTCCCAGTCGTAAGAAAGCATTCTAACTTCGCTTTCAGTGCAGGGTTCCATAGTTTCGTCGTTCCCACACCCGCATGTCTTGAACGTGGAGCTATACTTAGTTGAGACCTCCCGTATGGCGCATGTTTTGCGCAGGCTGTTTGGGATGTAGCATTCCGTGGTGTTTTTATTGATGCAGACCCACTGATTAGCATCTGATGAGCATTTATGCTGCCAAAACACCGACAACAGGAGACTCCCAACTGCTAAAGTCAATATGATTAAATAAAGGGCTTCTAGGCTCTGAAGTCCAACATGCATTTCAAAAATATCCAGAATCACCACAAAGACAGCCAATAAACACCCGGGCTCCTTTTAGTTCCCTCAAACGCAATGCGAAAGCAGAAGATTTACCTGGAGCAGATGCGCGCAAGCCTCCCTACACAATGAGTCATGAGAGAAACTCTTATTCTTCTTTGTTGAAAAGGCTTCGTCACAAATGGGTGCTGCACGCATAGGGGCAGAGCACAGGACGTCCACAATGGATTGCAAAAATGGGAGCTGTGAACGCGATTACGCAAACGTAGGATGCTTGCACCTTCGATTACTGAGGTATACAAAGCGCAATAAAGACAGCTGGGTGATAGAGTACAATCGAGACAGCTTTCGTATACAATCACACATGAAAGGCCTCAACGGGTCTGATGTTAAACGGACCCCTTTATGGATCAAATTCCGCCCAATATATACCTGTTGATGCTTCATGGACCACGAGGTAAAAACTCCAGGTGTCGCTAACTTACTGGGATTCATAATGCCTTCATCTGGTTCTCCTTCGATGGGATCTGTGCGGTACAGATGAAGCAAAAATTCTTTTTCATACCTTAGCTGTCTAGGCAGACGAGATCTGCATCACGCTCACGTGTCAACCGGCCACCTTGAAGCGCCGATTTGAGAAAATATACAGCCTTACGCTTGCAGAGTATTTTGACTATATCGCTCAAGCAGTCCTCTGGTGAAGACGGAGCCCAGCTTGCGAAGGTTAGCTGTCTACTGTTATCGGCATAAACGATGCGAGCGTTGCTTAGAACAAGCCTAGCGGGTGGGGTAACTGCTGCTTTCCACGAACTCAAAATCTGCAGAGAATGCATTCAGCGAAATCGAAGTGCGCACTTGCACGCATACCCGGTACAAAGCCTGTGTACAATTAATTTCGCACCCCAACTTACAGCGACTTCTTCTTCCGTTGCTGGACTAGAGCCATCCATGCATTTGCATGATGGTATGCTTCCAGAATAAACAAGTCCTCCTGATAGAGGCTGCACCGCGATCTCATAGCCTCTCAATGACTTTTCAGCTGCGACCACGCAAAAGGTATTTCTCCAAAAATTACACATAAGCTCTTTTTGACAGCGATGCCGCCCACAGTTCTGCACATTCCCCTTGTCACTGTGGCCTCGGAACAGCGGCACATGCTCTTGGTCAAGCAGGTTCCTAAGAAAGTATCAAACCGCTCAGTTTTGCGTCTCACTCATTCGGCAACTGTAATACACAGCGAGGCTCAAGGCGTCGCAGGATGGACACAGCTCCAACACCGATGGCAGTTTGTCTTTTGAGATGGTGCAGGCTTCCGATTCCGAGCTTAGGGAGGCGCACGATTGCTTCAAAACGTCGGTAGCATCATGAACAGGGCATGATTTCTTCTCCCCATCTACAATCATCTGCAGTAACACGAACAGGAGGCGAGCTTGGTGCACATGCGGTCCTGGATATGCGCCCCCCATTTGCTGCATTAAATGGCAATCGCTACACGTTTTCTACTATGGCCGAAACTGACTACATGCTGAAATAGTTTGCTGCAAACTTATACGGGTAGCAGCTGCATAGTCTCAATTAAATGACATATTGCCTCAATTCCAACACAGCTGGCATGCGCTAGTGAAGGCAGAACAAATCTGAAACTATTCAGCTGCTAAAGTGAAAATGTATTAAAAGAAGCTTATCAGACTAAAATCTTCTTGCACTGTCGTACAGATTTGCAGCCCAAAATGGCGCCGGCCAACTCTACGTTGTATGTTTCAGGGCATAGGTCCTGCAAGACGTAGTGCTCGCCCTCCAGCATGAAATTAGCTTGGCGACCTTTAAGATAAAACAAGCACATGATGCCATTGCTGGCCAGCGACACCGTTTTCGGGTTTATTTGAAAGCGTCAATATTTAAAAGCGTTTCAATTGTTGAATGTGCTTTGGAAGGTGCTAAAAGGCCCGCCAACTGAGCAGGGCCAGAGGGTAACAAAGTTATGAAATAGCGGCTCACCATACTGGGACGTCGGTGCGTAATATGGCCGTTTCTCTGAGCGCGCAGCATCAAATCCGTCATGCACAAGATTGGTGCACTGTTTGCCTTGGTAGTTTCTGCCTTGCTAGATAGAATGCTTGAAGCGTACCGTACGTGCAGTTATTGGCGATTTCCCGCTGATTCGTTGCGAATGCCCATGGGTTATCGTCGTGCCAGTTGCTCATCATTGTCATGAACTTGTCGTACGGAGATGATGAGGCCATGACTTCGTCTTTGAACGTCTTCCACAAATCGAGACACAGATCCTTGCAGGTGACGCCTTCTAACGTATCCACTGTTTCTTCAGATAGATCTATACATTGCGGACCACCGTCGCTTCTCTGTTCCACTGCTCCTGCAAAAATTTGTACAAAAATTCACTCTCTGGGTTACTGAAAAGGTTAAGACTCTGCCTATTCGCCTTCATAGGTCGGCGCTTGAACACATCGAATTTCCCTGAATCGCCCATTCGTGAGCTAAATCATTATTCTCTTATAAACAAAAGTTCTTCACAGGCATCGACGCCTACACATGTTGCAGGTGCCACAAGCAGCTTGCCTTCGCAAAGGATGTACAATTCGTCTGACAAACAGTCGGAGCCAGAGCTGGTAAAAGAAGAAATCCGCCTCTCAGATGTTTTGTACCTGAGCCCAAATCATTGCCTGTGTAGCAGCAGACCAAGTGATGGATTCTTCAGTCAAGGTTGTCACGAAAACACACTTTTCGCTTAAAAGGCTTCGATATTGCAATAAAGCTAGCCCTCTTGAGCAACTGAGCCAATAAATACATTTTCTCACACGATGCTATCAGTCAAGATAATTGTTAGGCTGTCTGGTAGTCCACTTCTCCAGCTATCATCCTTGAAAGCTTTTTGAAGAGCACACTTCGACTCGCCATTTGGACAGCTGCATGCACCTGCTCATATGAAAACCGGACTCATCGCACAACTTGCTTGCTAGATTCTGCAGCAGTTTTCATTTGCCTGCGTGTTCCTATCTTACCCTGTCCCAAGTCAAGTGGGCAACTGGCAAATCGGCATGCCACTGTGAAATCCATGTTCTTAATGTAAACAAGACAGGTGTGGCGAGCACGCGCCGTCTACATGAACCATGGAGGAACTTTACCTTCATGGCTATAGTTGTTTTCTGAAGGGCGTGTAACGAGGCAAGGTGTGCTCTTCGATCCTGAAATCACAAATGAGTGAGAGAAAGCATTTTAGAGCAATATTTCCGTAAACTCACGAAGTTCATTATTGTACTATACGTAGCAGAAGAAGGAGAGGACGGAGTGGATCTTACCTATGTCGCAATTGAAACGGACCAGCATGGAGGGATTGAGAGCTGCTGGACACAAGGATGAAGCCTCGGCGTCTTCAAATGCACCGATTGATACATCGCATGCGGCCGATGTTGAGGATGTTTGGTTTTCACAAAAGTCGCGCATAAGATCTGTTATATCCTGAATTGCGCATGATGGCGTCTCAGTTAGCTTCCCTTTCAAAACGAATTCGTCACTGAAGAGAACTTGAACGAGCTCGACAGCACCATCACCACATGCCGCCTTCGTGTTCCACTGGCTGCCTGTTGCGGTATCGTTCCTGGTCACGTATTGCTCGAATTCTGTGGGCATTTGAAACGGCATTACGGAACACCCCAGAAGCAAATGCATATGCGAATATGCAAGCACGTGTGGTTGCGGACGAATGAAACATCTTGATATATCTGCGCTTACTGTATTGGCTGGCTGGTGCAGAAGAGGGCCTTGAATCTGAAGCAAAAAAGAGTCAAAGTTGCATTAGCACAGACACGCATACGCTCTGGCAGAAGCCTCGTATCCAACTGAAATCAGTCAATTTCCTCTATGTGAAGCCAAATGCAGGGAAACCATTGACAAAAAAGGAGCCATAGGTCTTACCAAAGGAGCAACTGGAAGACAATTCTTGGGCCAGTGCCAAATCAAATCCCTGCTCCCAGGCATCGGAAACTTTTGAAGCTGTTGCAAAGTCCTGGTTAAAGCATTCCGTAGGGCTGTGGCACTGTAAATACTTCTCTTTGTGCCGTGACCACAGTGCCATGCATGCGAATTCACAGACGTCTAGAAGGTCCGATACAGTAGATTGCGCTTTGTAGCAGTCCGGGCCCATGTTTTCCTTGTTAGGTTTGCTTTTCTCTGCAAAGTCAACAAAGTGTGCATATATGGACGAACTAATGGCGGCTTGAAGTAGGCACATTGGTGAGGGTCTCACGCAAGATCAGCAATATGGGAATGTGACAGCAGTAGGCGTATTCAACTACGATTAAATGCATTAGCTGACCATATGCTAGCAGTAAATACGATGCTAGAGAAACGTCGAAGTTCGTGTTGTAGTGGCAGTCGCTTATCATTCGCGGCACGCAGTGCGTTTCACTATCACAATCTTCGACAGCATAGCTGTATGAGTCTAAAGAATAGTATGGCTGTATGAATGCAAGGACTGGAGAGCCAAGGTCATGTGAAATCTCTTCCCCTGACGTTAGCAGTGCCCGAGCTCGGAGCTGAACTTTCACAAAACGGACAAAAACGCCGTCCCACCATGATTATTCTGAAAGATTGCAAAAGCTTCCAAATTTGCCAGGGATCCACAGCAAATCAAAACTTGGTGTACGATTTTAGAGCTTCTCACCGAAATTTTCGCGGTGCCAAAATTGGTGGAAAGGGCTGAACCTAGAGCCATGATACCTATGATGACTTTAGGGGCATTGGTCATAATGGAAGAGGATAATGAGATATAAAACCTTTTAAGGCGATACTCAACAGAGCCTTTGGCGAAAACATAAGGGGTCGTATTGAACTCAAGTGCGTCCTCCACAACTGATGCCATATTTTGAATCTGGGCCAGTACAACGTATTCCGCCTAGAAAGCAGAAGCAAAGGGACCCGTTAAAGGTCTGCAAATTCAATAGTGTGCATGGTTCATGTATAGTCATATGTAGCAGCTGGTGCGATAACATAGAGGCAAGGGAGACCTCTAGAACGTTTGGGTGTTTTCCACAAGAATATGATGCCGTACACTAAGCGGGTCCCACGCATCGATGTCATAAGAGTGGCTTTGTGCATTAAATTTTGAAGACCCCGAAAGACTGGTCAGTTCGACATGCTCCGCAAAGTAGTCCGTCCCCACTGTTTTCCTCCACACAATGTAAGGCACGGCAATTTGAGTCGCTGAAAAGTCGGCGCTTATGCAAGGGGGCACCACAGCTCTGGCGGTAAAACCGTTGTCGTCCACCTCTCCTACCTGCAATAAAAGCAATGGGTCCAAGAGAGCCAAATTTGAGTGATTATTAAGAGCCTGGATGGCGTGTAAACAGATGGTAAAATCTCACTTGTGCACGAATTCCGTAGTTCCCGATGAAATCAGGAGAGCCCAGGAAGACAAGGGGATCCGTGATGGTGCTCGGGAAGTCAACTCTAACCCAAATGCCATCGCCTTTGACAGTAACTTTGCCCTTAACAAAATCTGCGTTTATGTACATCACGCTGGAAGAAGCCGTGATCTAACATGGCAGATCGTTGTGTAAATAGCTGCCATTTGCGATACATCGGTATGTGGAAGAGCCGTAACACTGTGGCAATGAAGGCGTAAGGTGTTTTTTGCTGTGCTGCATGCTCGCAATTTTCGTGTCATCCGAGAGAAAGTACCTGGAATCGAGCCAGCGTGGCACTGAAAAAGTGTAAAGGGAATCCCGACGACTAATAAAAGCACCTTATTGGTGAATAATCGCTTTGTCGGAGTCATCCTGTTTTTCACAAGGGACAGCGACCAGTTGGCAAATGGCAATGTTCAAGGAGTACAGTAGGTCACGCGTGGACCCAGCTGCCTTTTTTGTTGCACCAAAGCAGATAAATGCGCAGGTATGTTCAGCTGAGTAAAAGGTATTGCGGGGAAAAGACATTTACGGACTTAACCGCATCTGCAGATATGCTGCCAAATGTTGGTTAATAACTGTGCACAGATCTGCACACTGTAATGTCGCCGTATCCTCGTCTATGAGCAAAACTTACTCCCAACTTTTACTTTTACGTATGACTTACTTGGCAGAATGGAGGAGTTAGAACTCAGCTGAAGTCAAAGCAGCCTTTTGAGCGCCAGTTTCCGGCAGCTGTGCCTCCTCTGAGCGCACATCAGCACGCCTAAGAAGATAGAACGGCACTGTTGAAAAATATAATGCTGTAGTGCTACTTAATGCAAAGCACCACCCGCGGGAGTTTTGCTAAGTTCTGACACTGACCTAGCTTGGAACGAAATTTTGGGACCGGGCCTCAACGAGCCACTGAGGGCAAGCACGTGACTGCACATTAGGCAGGTAGAAAGCAGGGAAAAATGAAGCGCATTCCTTGGGAAATAGAGGTCCTATCAGCGCAATTTCCATGCCATAAATTATACAATCTGCTCGTGAGATGCCAACAAAGCATGCAAGTGCTAGATCGCGGCCGACGGTCTCTCCAGCTGAGGCAGCCTCATCGTTCGTTGCCGAAGACTCGCACCATCCAGTCCACGCGTTGTTACTGTGTCTAGTCTCATATACAGTTTGGAGTAATGGCACTGGTAAATTTATTAATTCAGGCAGCAACCTGAAGAATATAGGAAGCTCTGCTGTCGCTAGACACGACAAGGGGTGGGGTCTCTGCTGCTCTCTCCGAGTATCATCTCAGTGAATTTGAAACAGAGTGCCTCACTCTAGGAGATCCATCAGTGATGGATAAACTAACATAACGATGCAACTTAGCGTTTTAGTGGTCACCCCGTTTTGCCTTAGCGCGTACAGCACGTTCCTCGCAGCGCTAGCAGACGTGATGCCACAGATCCTCGCCACCACAGCGAGAGCGAACTCCAACTCTCTGTAGAGAACAACAGAAGATATTTTGCATACTATCCCATTGAACATATTTTGCATTTTATTTCACTCTTCCGAATGAGGGCGCAATTTGGGAACCTGTAGATGTGCATTTTCAGCGAAACCTCTCCGCTGCTTGAAATTGTGAATTTCCGAAGTGGGACATTGCGAGGAAGTCCTAACTATGGGTTTTAGCGGGGTGCTATTATCAGTGCCCTGAATGCCTTCCATTAGCAAAGAAAGTCTACACGCTGGTTCACTTCACATGGTTCGTTATAGTGGTGCGCAAAAGCTGCACCGTGGGCCCATTACCACACTCTGCTCCTGGTCAACAGAGATTGTGGTTGCGTTTTCATCGCAAGTGTGAGGCCCGCACACAGCTCTAAAGGCAACATATACGCCTTGTCCGTAGACAAACTAGGAGCTGCGCGAAAAAGTATAATAGCCGACCTACTCCATCAGACCACCTGGAAATGGCAGGATGGACTTACCAATGAGACTCCCCCTTCCATTTTCAGCAACAATTTGTGAGAGAGTCCGCAAGGAATTGGGCTTTAGCCCCAAGAGGACGAAATGCTGTCACTCAGCACTAGTGTCGGCCTCTCGATATGAGAACGTTCTACATCTCAAGTTGCCTGACTGGGTTAAATATCACTAGTAATTCTGGATGGCATGCGTGTCTCGTAAGCTAAGAAGAGCCGCAAGCCCGAGAAGCATTCTGACTGCCTCCTAGGAGTAGCTCCACAATACAAAGAAACTGATCCTGTTGTGCATACTTTCAATCTTGCAAGCCCTCTCGCAAGCCAAGTGCTTAATATACAGGCACCTGTGCAGCCTGGGGGAATTCTTAGTGCTGGGTCTAACGTAAATTGGTCTTATGAGTCTGACTCAGTGAGCACGCACTTTGCTGCGCAAACTGAAAGTCCACGCATGGGGATAGCTTGCTGTTAGTGAAGCAGAGTTGCAGGAGGGGTGTCTTGCACACTACGCAATGCAAATACTGAACCGCAGACTTCTGGGCGAGGCAAAAAAAACAGTTTAAAGCCTCTTTCTCGTCTTTTCTTTACACCATGAACCTGCGTATGGGCACCAAGACTGTTGCAGCTGCACCCTGTTCCTAAGCGGCAGATTCAGAAGCCGCTTTTCTCAAGACATACTGCAGAATGCCTCCGTTTCTGAAGTACTCCAACTCTACCTGGGACAACACAAAACGACATGCACAGTGTGTCATTTTGAAAGCGGCCATCCACCTTCACACAATGCAGAAGCCCAAAGCGGAGGAACTACTGAGAGCACGCACTGCGCTCATTGGCTGCCTCACTTTGGTTTCCAGGCGGCATTTAGCTGTGAACTGCCGACCATCATCTAGTTGCACTGTAACCATTGATTTCACCTCTAGATGTGTCAAGTCAATAGAAAATTCTTCTGTTCCTGAAAGTCTCACATAGCCGCACTGCTATACAAACGAAGCATGCTGTGCAAGGCACGGCTCATCATAGTCACGCTGCACAGCATATCTCGCGGTTTGGTCAGTGAGTGGTCCAGTTGTACCTGTAATTTTAAGAGAGGCAGCAGACTCTCCCTGAGCAAACTGCAGCGGAAGTACCCCCATTCCAACTAGATTCGACCTATGAATTCGCTCATAGCTCTCCGCGATAACTGCTTTCACGCCCAGCAGAGCCACGCCCTTCGCTGCCCAATCTCTGCTGCTTCCACTACCATATTCCCTTCCTAACTCACAAATAAACTGTTCGTGGTGGAAAGAACCTCAAAGTCGGCACGGCGTCCGGTAAGTTTAGGAGGCCAAAAAGTGGTCACAGAGCCAGCAGCGTATCGCAGGAAGCAGTAGCAGCCCGTACGTGAGCAACTGCTATTAAGTCTGCACTGACGCACAGCAGGCGACTGACCTGCGACGATAATGAGCGGAGTATGTGTTTCTTTGTATAGCTGAATACAACAGCAACCAACATGAGATTAAGCACAAATGGTCGCGCTCCAATGCATGCTTAATCTATGCCGTTCCATCTTCTGTGTCTCCACTGCTGCATGTCTAGTTCGACCTACTTCTGCAGCGTCATATACAGGCATTTCTTGTCCAGAAGGGATGTGTTTGGTAATAGGACCAGCAACGGAAGCAAGTTTGTTAACCAGGCGGATGTTCGCGAAAGTCCCTTCAACCACAACAGAGAAACCCCCGAAACTTCCTGCATGTATAGAGTGTTAAAGCCCCTCCTTAGATTGTCTGATGGTGCGCTGTTGCAGGAATCCTAGGCGTAGAGTGATTAGATATCCTCTTCCGCCAAAAAAACTGCGTACAAACCTCGAGTCATGACTTCATCGTTACCGCGACGGCTCCCGTAAGAGTTGAAATCTCGTTGCTACAAACACAAGCGGAGTGATCACTACAAGCGCGTTCAAATTTTTTTCACAAGGTGAAGGTAGCACAGTGAGGGTGGCAAGGCGCCTTTAGAAGGAAAATTGTGTACGCCATTCCAGTGGCTTGATACGCTGCTGCCTACCATGACACCGTGGGCCAATAGGTAACGACCAGCTGGAGAGTTTTTCTCGATTCTCCCAGCAGGCGAAATGTGATCTGTTGTGATGCTGTCTCCTACAGACACCAGTCACGCAATACAACAGAGAAGATCAAGTATAAAACTGAGAACGGCTTGGAAAGTGGCTGTCTCCTTCGAAGTATCAATAAGAACCACTGCCAAGCGCATACCCAGCAAAAGAAGGCACCTGGCCCGTGTAATAGATTGCACTGGCATCGGTTCCCTCGTGAGGTTCGCAAAAAACGGAGGCTTATGTATGTATGTAGAATTGGCTGGCCACTGAAGCAATGTGCCCGTAGGTGACTTGAGAGCTTTCCACCTGCGCGTATTCAAAGTGGAGCATGCGTGTAGGCATGAAACATCTACGCATGAAGCCCTTGCTCCCAAATTTAGATGCGCCTTCTACGTAAAAAAAGAATACGTTTCTGGCAAGCGGAATGCGGTTTGTCCTCGTTGGATAACCCTACTGTTCATTCCCCAGTTGGATATTCTTGTAGGCTTCGTTGAAAAAAGAAGGAAGTATTGCAGTTTCCACGAGCTCGTTCACGCTGGCTGCGCTGGGCCAAATGTCTCGCAAAAATACTTCCTTTCCTGCAAAATCAAACGAGAAGATCTCGCTAGAAAGCTGCGGACAAAATCATGGGACGCTGCTCGATTCAGAATGAAGGATTCAGCAGACAGGCATACCGTCTTTCCCAATGCCAAGCGGCTCAGTTTCAAAGTCGATGTTTACTCTTCCTGAGGAAAGTTTGTAACAAATCGCACTAGAAGGCTGTGGGGCTGTGGAACTGATGCCTTCGACCCAGCAACTCAAACTTGGTGGCAATGTCCCAGAAGAGGCTGACAAAACGCCCACCGGCAATAGCAAAGGCGACACAGAGTGGCGGAGAAGCAAGGTAGTTCGCACGAGTGAGAGGGTGCACGCGACCCTCAAAATTCCTGTTGCCTGCAGTGGCAGCAAAAAGAACGCGCTCTTTCCTGCGTCACATCTTGTGAACTGCGTCCGTTTGCCCGAATTAAAGCCCATTGTCAGCTTTCTGCTAAAATGCTGACTCGAAAAAGCGCACCAGAAAGAACCGCCGCAACAACCAGATCTGGGTTCGACTGAATAGCTGCGGTCACTTCCTGCACACGCATTCAATCACGCAGTCAGATATCTATGTAGAGAAGAGCAACCAGTGAAAATCACGCGTCATTGAGTTTGGGCACTGGTGGAGGCGTAGGTAAGAACAACCTGGGCTCCCCATCACTTCCTACTGACTTACATACCTCTGGAAGGTCTCCACTGTTACCAATACATGTCATGCAGCCGAATCCTGAGTCACACTGCACGCTAGACGAGCATCACCGCATGTGAGACCTCCACAACGGGGCAAGAAATGACGTGCAAAAGCGCCATTCATGGCCATTATTGGGGGGCAGCATGTGTCTATACTAACCTGCTAGGTAAAAGCCCAGCTCCTCCAGGGCCGGTAGAAGGCCCGCGGCTTCAAGGTAGCGCTGAACCACGTGGCTCCCAGGTGAGAGGGAGGTTTTTATATACGGAGCAACGCTAAGTCCCAGCTCCTAAGACACATGCATAATTAAACACTCTGGAAAATTCTGTAGTAGAAGATGCCCTCATCTACTGTGCAGTTAATTATCACATAGAACACCCGATCAAAAAAATTCTGATTTGAAAGAACCAATCCCTTACGGCATGCAGTCAGAAAATGCATCTGCTGCGAATAAGGGATAAACTGCGAAACCTACGACTGCTCTTCGAGCTAACAGGCCAGCACCGATCATAACCGACGGGTTGGACGTGTTCGTGCAGCTTGTGATCGCCGCAATCACTACCGACCCCTGAGAGACGCACAGAAAACGTTTCCCGGGCAAAACCACGTAACTAACAATTTTGAACATCCAAACGCCTGCTACACTGCTGCTGCACAGCATCTACGACCCGTCTCACCTGTCGAAGCTCGTAAGTTTTGCCCTCAAATGCCAGCGGCACGCGAAGAGATACGGCGTCAGGCTTCAAGCCAAAACCCTTGAAACCAGTGGGAGCAGTTAAGCTCTCCTGCGCGCACAAGCTTACGCCTTGGCAAACATAAGCAAGTGCCGCGAACCGTAATTTCTGTTCCGTAGAGCAGGATATTCACTTGTTGCGTACGGTGAACTCCGCCTTAAGGTTGCGAAGAAGAACTTCGTCCTGAGGGCGCTTGGGACCCGCAACGCACGGTTCAATCTTAGACAAGTCAATTTCCACTACATCTGCAGCAGCCGCACCCGTCGGAAGCACACACATTACAAAGGCTGCAGCTGAAGATAGTCAGGCTTCCCTAACCGATGACTTGTGGGCCTCACCTGTGTAGGATACCTCCGTTTCGGAGCCTGTGTATGTCCTAAACATCCCTTGCTGCAAAAGGTAAGCCTTTATCTTTTCCACTTCCCTGGAGCTTCGACCAGTAGACAGCAGGTACTTAAGGGTTACTTCATCAGGGGGAAAGTAGCCAATGGTAGCACCAAACTCTGGGCTCATGTTTGCAATGGTGGCCCGGTCGGGAACCGAAAGCGTGGAGCAACTCTCCCCAAAGAATTCCACGAAATGGTCAACAACGCCACGCGTACGTAATATGCGGACAACATGAAGCACTAAGTCCGTTGTTGTGCAAGCGGAGCTCAAATGACCGACAAGGCGCACACCCAAGACTGGCGGAAGTGTCATGGAAACAGGCTGGCCTAACATAGTCGCCTCAGCTTCAATTCCACCAACTCCCCTGCGTGGATGCGTACGTGAGAACATTCAAACAGACAGCAGTACCAGCTGAGGATCATCACACACGTCGCAAAGTGCTAGCCTACCGTAGCGCTCTTCCAGTACACATGTCGAATCCCTGTATGTAGTCATATTGCCTCACCATCCCACAATGCCTAGTCCGTCGACCATGGTTGTATGCGAATCAGTTCCCACGAGCGAATCCGGAAAGCAAAGTCCATCCCTCGTCACTACAACCCTAGCCAAGTACTCCAGATTCACCTGATGAACTATCCCGGAGCCTGGCGGCACAATGAGCATCTGCGAAAAAGTGTTTGCTGCCCACTTCAAGAAAGAGAAGCGCTCGCCGTTGCGATGCATCTCCATTGCCTCGTTATAAGCCATTGCGTTTTGGCTGCGTCAATACATACAGAGAAGTTATAGAGGCATGCTCGGTGTCGTGGGCACCCAGTTGAGGCTTTTAACAATACGAATGTGTGTGCTCCGCTGTCCAGCATGCACATGGTGGACAACGGCATGCATACCTTCTGGCTTTGTCCACTTGGACGGAATGATCAACTATGAGGTCTACGGGAACCCGCGGATTGATCTTTAGAGGGTCACATCCTAACTCCTTCATGGCGTCACGCATCGCGGCGAGGTCGACAACGCATGGAACACCCGTGAAGTCTTGCAGAATTACTCTAGCAGGTATGAATGGAACATCTACCTGGACTGTGTCTTCCTTAGCGTTGAATGATGACCCCCACTTCAAGATGCCTTCGACGTCGGCTTCGGTCACGAGGAAGCCGTCGCAGTTCCGGACAGCAGACTCCAGCAGCACACGAATGCAGTACGGAAGACGGCAGACTTCGTCTTTTCCAAGTTTCTGTATATTATATATCTTCTCTTCGAAACCACTGAGCGTTTCCAAAAGGTGTGCATAGGGATGCGCAGCGGCCTTCCCATCGGGACGGGAGTTGCTGGCAATGTTTCCAGTTGTCTCGGGAGGTGAACCGTCGGTCATTTTAGATTTTCTGTGAATGTGAATCCCCGAATAAGTTCCTTATTGATCGGGCGTGTTCGTACCTGTCCCGCTGTAAGTAGCTCGAGAGAATAGCTGTTGCCGCTCCTTCAGCAGCAACTGACCAGAGGCAAGAATTCACAGGTCGACCCTAATCAAACATTACTGCAGCATGTTACTTCAATATATTCAGATGTTTCACCAGGAAGGTTCAATCTTTCAGGCAGTACAAAAGCCTGTCTTCGGGGCTGCTAGAGCTGCTGGCGACTGGGGCGCTCTACGTGGCCCGTCGTCACATAGGTGTTGTCTCAGCAAACATGCAGCACAGATGAAGCAATCAGCTGCTGCCTTACTATTCAGAGACAAAATATGCATCTACAAACTCTCTAATTTACAGTTTTAAGAAGTTTAAATTACGTTGTGGCGGGGGGAAATATGCTCTAGGGGCCCTCAATGGCTGCAGGTCACCTTCGATTGTTGACTTTGTTGTTGCCTGCTTACCCTGCCTCTTAAACAACACAAAAATGTCTGGGGCCAGCCAAGAAAGATTAAAGTTATATAAGAGCCACAAGTTTTACTGCGTCCTCTAATTTCCGTCACTTCACGAGGTGCTGCCTTCAACTGGTAAACACAGAGTAGCCAGACATAAACAAGGGTCCTGTAACGCAGTGTGCGGGTTATAGCCGCCCGGCCTTTTACTTCTCATTCAAATTGTGAAAGCAGCGTGCGCGCGTCAACCTAATGCCTAGTACTACGAATGTTACCGGTTCACTCAGTGAAGCTGAGCGTTAAGGAGAAAGCCCAGCTGTTTTGCTGCCACTTTGAACTCCTCGCTTTTCAAGCAATGTGCCATGTTTTTCCTATAAAATTAAGGCAAGTGGGCGTGTTGCCCCTACATAGGCGGCCGTAGGGCACATGTGGCCGCCCACTCGGCCTTGGCTCTCGTCTACGTACTAAGGAAGCTTCCGGGCAAATTTTTTAGTGCTCAGCCCGCATACACCCGCATATTTTGGACTAGTCGAAAAACCGAATGCGTGTTCGGAGTCATAGACACGCAAGCGCCATAGTGCGAGCCTAACTCGGGCACTCGAAGCGCAGGAGATACAGCGCTGCGCTGCCGATGACGAGTGAGATCTTGACAAGAAAGTATAAACTACTAAGCCTCTGAGCAAGGAGCGCAATGCGACCCGTAGGACCAGTTGAGATCCGAAGGGAGCAAGACCACCCCTAAGGAGATGATAGTCCCTGTCCTGAATTCGACATAGCGACAAGATGGTAAAGTCCGAATAACACAAAAATATAATTCGGCTCTGCCTGTTACTGGAGACCCAGCCATGAGCTTCGCCGTACTCATAAAGCGCTACCATCTAGGGACGACTTTTTGGAAAACTTGGAACGAGACCTTGAAAGATGATTGCTTTTATTAATAACTGCGTATTGTTTATGAGGGATGTGTCGAATGTAGTAGAGAATTAGTCAGAAGGGCGCCCTATTCTTGGGCGAGGTAGTAAAGTAGTAGCAGCAGAGAACGCTGTGCAATACAGCGCCTGCCCTGAGACGACGTACTGACCCAACTGGGTCAGAAGAGTCAGGACTATGATTCTCTACTTTTAAGGAGTTGGATCCGTAGATTGCGGGCAACCGCAGGCCCCCCTGATACGACCGTTTGGACACATGCTAACTTGAAGTCTTATGCTTTTCGTACCCGCTAAGGAGCCGCCGTAAAACAACCCGGCGACGCTGTACAATAGAATTTCGTAATCGTCTATCTACTTTTCGCTATGTGTCACCTTACTTGCACGTCCGCACTCATTGAATATGGAAAATCTGCATCTCTCAATTCCTTGAGTTCCTCAAGCACGTCCTGTATTCATAACATGACCATGTGACAGTAGGACATCGAGGCAAGAAGAATACCTTCACGGCTCTAAGGAAGCATTACCTCTGCCCAGGAATGAGCCCCTACACTACTGCATATGTGGCATCATGCACTCGCTGCCGTGCGTCTAAGTCACTTAACGAGAACCCCACAAAAACAGCTACTCATCCCTTCGCGTCGATGGACCCACGAGACCCTTGATTTTATCAGAGCTTCCCTTTACTAAGTCGGAGCACGACTCGATTCTAGTGTTCGTCGGCTCGCTTAATAAGATGGCCTAGTTCATTCCTGCTAAGAAGTCATTCACCGCAGCTGATGGCGTATGCTTCTTGCGGACCGTCTTAGGCCCTGCCACGGCTTTCTGGATGTGCTCATTTCCGACCAGAACCCCTGTTTTCAATCTGATCTTCGGCAACAACTCTGTAGCTGTTTCAACATCAAACGTGCCATGTCCTCGTCCTACCGTCCCCAGAGAGACAGCCAAACTCAGCGGGTTAGCCCCACCCCGGAGCAGATGCTCCGCACCCAGATACACCCTGATGAACGTGAATGGGAGCGCCTGCTTCCTGCCCTGGAGCTTGCTTACAACACGGCAATCCATTCGTTCATCGATCTATCCACTTCCGAGGTCATGGTCGGCGAGAATCCACTACCAGCCGCAGACGCCGACGTCGTGGGTGCGTTAGCTCGTACGCACACCCCTTTGATGGCGAAGTTTTTCCGTCAGCTTTGTGACAGGGCCCAGGACCACATCCCAAAGGCGAAATGGCAGCAGAAGTACTAAGCAGACGCATATCACCGCGCGGCGGATAATGCCGTATTCGATCAGGTTTGGCTCAGCATCAAGCATATACTGCCTTTGAACAAATAAGCCAACTCTGAGCCCCGTCACGGGGGACCCTTTGATGTTACCGAACGTAGAGGCACTGTCGCCTGCTGTCTCGCTTATAATTGCCACGTCTTCCACGTTTCACAGTTAATTCGCCAGTGGCCCGCTTCCTCCTGAGTTGGCTTCCCAGCAAGCGGACGCGGGATAGCTCCCTACCCACGATAAGGCTGATAATCCAACGGATCCGCATCACATCATGGACCGGCGCGGCTCGAGCGCCAACGCCCAGTACCTCGTCAAGTGGCGCGGAACACCTGAAGAGCAAGCCACGTGGGAGCCCGCTCACCATCTTACAGGTTTACCGGCTTTAGTGCGTGCCTGGCACCGCCGCCAGCCCACTCGTCTTCACGCTCAGACCTGCACTTCCCCTTCCGAGCCGTAGCGCCTCGGGCCCGTCCACATGCACCGTCCTCCGTACAGGCAGTCTTTCCTGCCGCGCCGGAGGGGTTGGGAGTGCTGCGCATCTTCATGTGCTCATGCAGGCTTTTTACAGCCAACGCTTTAGCATTAGAGTCACACGCACAGAAAACGGCATAGCACAGCAGCGCAGAGAACGTAGCAGACACAGGAGAGAACATCAAGGAAAGATCAAGCCAGAAAAGGTGACATTATAGTCGAGGCCGAAGCAACTGAAATCATGAAATCTGGGTAGACCGGCTTAGCCCGGCAAGAGAGGAAGTTGTGCGCAGGCACTACAATAGCGCTTTCTGGTGGCCTCTAGAGGTTAGTACGCCGAAAGGGCACAGATACATTACTAATATTAATAGACGTAAGTGGTTTGTACGCGAGACAGCATTTATAGGCAGGGAACGTTTGTTTCTATCCTGACGCTGGGGCTGGTGATGGCGCGGGCATTGGAAAGGGGACCCAACGGGGTAAGGGCAGTCAGAACTATGATTCTCTTTTGAGAAGTTCAAACGATAGACTTGAAAGGCAACTGGTAGCTAATTATTTTGATGGTGTTTCAAAACACATGTCTCGAAGGTAAGGAATTCTACAGAGGTATGCCCAGTGTGTGCGACAGGAAGTTACGTAGTAGCAGCAGAGAGCGCCGGTCACTACGAATGGCGTATTAGACGGCCTGCAAACACGCTTACGTTGGTCTGCCACTATAATTTAGTTTTCCTGCAGCCCTTCATTGCTGTGATGCCCTTTAGGAAGCTCAGATGCTCACGCGCGTGAAGTTAGTCGCGCTTTAGAAGTGACTCACTTGTGAATCAGAACGCTCGATTCAGCCATTCTGGGGTATTGTGGATATCTGACAATGTATCATACACTTGAATCCGCCCACATTGTGGGTGCGTAACAGCAAGGTCATTGAGCTCCTCCAGGAAGCCACGATATAAAGCCCTGCCATCAGAAAGGGGTTTAGACGAGCTCAGTTGTGCTAGGTGAGAGGGAGGCTAAAATTTCTGTTAGCTGTCATCTTAGCGGCATGCACAAATTAGGCGGTTTTTCTTAGATCTCTCAGTAGAAACTCCAATTCCTGGCTTTGGCTTAAATATTTGTGGTGCGTTGGTTTTATAGCCTGGATGAAGAAACTAATTGGTCTCTGCTTTTCGTGAAAAACCACACCAATAGAATACAACTCAAAACGCTTCATTGTATCTGAAACTTTCAAGGTCGTGTAGTCGATTAAGCGTCTTTTGAGTTTTTTGAGGCGTGGTTGTGAGTTTGAGGTCTATGGTAAAAGAAATTAAGCGGCAACGACGATACGGTAAGAGCTTCCTCTACCGGGCAATTGGCATGCTTGAGCTCCGTTGTCTAGCGATTCGGATCACATGAGAAAGGCCTGTATCTTGTTTGCAAAGGCTTTTCCCCTTCACAGACACCCCTGTGCCAGGAGTATAACAGGGGAAGACGAACTTCTGATTTTGTAAACTTGCACTTGCGGAACTTAAAGTAGAACTAGTGCACGAGAAAGAAGATGAGGTGTAGTGAACAGAGCTCTCTGCTGCTACTACGTTGCTTCCTGGAGCACGAATAGGGCGCCCTTCTGACGAACCCTCTGCATTCGCTGCATATTCTATAAAACAGCACCAGATAATCAATAACCCATCTTCCTTCGAGTCTGTCAATAGAACCTTCTTAAAAGTCAAGAATTTTAGTTATGATATTCCTGACCCGGTTAAGGCGGTGCCCCACACCAGTGTCGGTGTCATCGCCAGCCTCAGCCTTAGGATATTCACAAGCACTCCTAGCCTACACATGCTATTTTGCTTATGAATCGCGTTACTTCGCTAGGAATAACAAGTTATCTGCATCCTTACAGCGTGCTAACCTCTTATAGCTCACCAGGTAGCTAACCACTAAAGGTCACCAGCAAGCGCCAATCTAGTGCCTGTGAAATACATGAAGACTCCTGGCAGGAGGCTAACCTGCTTTGCCAAATCAATACTGCCTAAGAAGCAAATTGTCCAAGCATGCGGCAACACCCAGGCCTAGCAAGGATTAGATGGGGTGGCCTTGAGGCCAAAAGGCATATTACTTTACTCATATGACCATATGGCCGAATGGAGGTCAGCCACTCACCGGTCCTGTAGTGCGCAGCGGCTCCGGCTGCTACTGTAGTACACTGCGTTCTCTACAGCGTCTACGATGCTGCACAACCCTCTACTCTGGTGTTCAATGAAAGTTTCTCTACTACCGACGCATCGGTCGCGTATCGTCGACCAATTTATTAAAAAGATCGTTTCATATTAAGTTCTCAAAATCATACTTCATAAAAGTCGTTTCTTCTCGTTTTTGCTTTGCTGGTACGGTGAGGATGTGACGCTCACCGGTGCCGGCGTTGTCGGCAGCCCCAATCTTAGAGCATTCGCGGGCATTTCTAGTCTATACATCTTAATTTGTTGACAAATTGCATTCCTACTCCACTAGTAAGAGGCTACAGCGCTCAATCCGCGTCTCAACCTCTTAACGGCTTTGGCGCATCTGTACGAAATAAATATCCAAATATCATTAAATGCAGTTATCTTCTCCAGTTTTCAAATACCTTATTCTTAAAAGTCCCCACTTGGGGCTCTTGCCTCCTTGGCCTTGTGGTGAGGAGTCCTGCACCTGTAATGCACAGGCACTACAATAGGGCTTGCTGGTGACCTATAGACGATAGCTAGCTAGCGAGCTACAAGGGGTCGCAACACTGGAGGAGGACAGGAGCCTCCTACTAGGATCAAAGTAAGGCAATTTGTCTGTGACTTAATATGCATACGCTAGAGGTGCCTGAAAATGCGTGGAGACTGGGGCTGGCGATAGCACCGGTGTAGTGAACAGCTGTCTACACTGTTACCACGTAATGTCCCTTGGCGAGTCCGACTCGGCGGTCACTCGGCACAGTCGGTCAAAGGTACCTGACTATAGTCAACAACA